TCGGCCCAGAATGAAAGAAGTTCACTTTGACTCCCTTAAAAAGTGACCCGAATCTAATCCATAACCCTAAACAGCAAAACCAGATATCTCGACCCCCAAACTATTGAAACAGGCGCAATTTGACTCTCTTGGCGGTTTTGCTGATGTGGCGGCGCAATTTTACTCTCTTGGCGTTTTGTTGACGTAGCGCTTACGTGGTGGTAGGGTTTACAAAACCGTGCGGTTACCATGCACAGTAAACCTTTCCAGTTTTTTGAAAACCACGATATGTCTCGCGTTTACCACACCTTATCGCGGGGTGCGGGAACTGCGCCAAAAAGGTAAGAGGAACCCTGCGTGGCGGTATTGACGGGGTCTTCTTTACATGTGGCGTTGACGTGGGGCATAAGTGACATTAGAATTAAAAAAAATAATTCATTTATCATTTACACAAAGACATGGGGACCCACTGACATGTGGGTCCTCTCTCTCCTCCCCTTCCTTTTTCCTCCTCCCTCTCTCCCTTCTCTCTCTTTTCTCTCCCCTTCTTCTTCCCCTTCAGCCGGTGACGCGTGGCGGCAGGTAAGCCTGTAGCGGCGGTGGTAGAGGAAGTGGCGAAGGACGATGGCGAGCAGGAGCAGGCCGACAGCGACAAGGGAGTTGGGCAGCGAGAGGGGGAGGAGGTGGCAGCGCGACTCACTGCGAGGAGCAGGGCAATGTGGTCGTGGCGGCGGGGGTCTCGGCAAGCCGCGCAAACGAGGGGGAGGAGGCGGTGGCGCAGCTGCGCGAGGGGCGGAGGCGGAGCACACGGCCGGCCTGCACGCCATGGCGGCGGTGGCGGGCGTCGATCTAGTTGTAGGAGCGCGGCGGCGGCGAACGTTGTCGGGGAGATCCCCCACCTCACCCTATCCATGGCGGCCACCGCCGGATGCCACCGTCTTTGCTCCCCGCCACGCTTGCGTCTCCGCCACTCGCCGCCCCCGCCGCCATCCCCACTGTCGCTCCGGTGGTGAAGAGAAAGGCTGGGGGAGAGAATGAGAGAAGGGGGAGAGAGAGAGAGGAGAGAGGATGACATGTGGGACCCACATATCAGTGGGTCCCATATGTCATCATTTGTGTGAATTATAAATGAATCATTTTTTTAATTATAATGCCACATAATCGCCACGTCAACGTCACATGTAAAGAAGACCCAATCAATAGCGCCACGTAGGCGCCATGTCAGCAAAACCGCCCTCCAAAACCACAAGGGAGTCAAATTGCACCGGTTTCAATAGTTCGGGGGTTGAGATATCCGGCTTTGCCGTTTAGCGTTATGATTAGATTCGGGTCACTTTAAGGGAGTCAAAGTGAACCTATTCCGCGCAGAATATCTCTTCCGGGATGGGCCACTTTTCCTCGGTTTGGTTAATGGGCTACTCGTGGCTCTGTTGCTTTATTGGGCCGATGAGATGTCACGTGATCCTCACCTGCTTGGGCCCACGAGGAGGACTCATTTGCTCTTCTTTTTATTACCACGACTGTCCAAATGCTTAATGCTTTTGTTTTGTTTTGTTTTGGGAGGGTTGCCTCAATTCTACGAAAGCACAGGTTTTGAACTTTGTTTGTGTGTAGGGGGAGTAGTATGTGTTTTTGGTCTTAATATATATGTTGGCTGAAAGAGCATGATATACATGTGCTTTTGAAACAAAACGTTGCCATCATTTCCTTGCTAATTCAGGAGAAAACAGTAAGCATATACTCTACGTTTCATCGTAGTAAGTCGTTTAGACTTTATATAGTTATTTTTTTTTATTTTTGCCAAGTTAGTAAAAAAATATAGCAATACTTTTAATACAAAATAAACATATTATCAAAATATATTCAATATTACATTTAATAAAACTAATTTGGTATTTTAAATGTTGCTTAAATTTTATATAAACTTGATCAAGTCAAAGCTACTTATTCTATCTTACTACAAAGTTGATGACCAATCAGGATTTGAAATTTCGTTTCGAAATTTTTGAAATTTTGGTAATTTCGCCCCCACCGACAAGCTCATATCTTGCCCGAAATTTTTGGTTGTTTTACATTTTTTTGTGAATTTGGTCAAATTTTATTTAAATTCATTCAAAATCAGTCAAAATTTCAAATATTTTCGGCCAAAATTTTCGAAATTTCGGTAATTTCGGTGCTCCCGGCAGAAATAGCAATTTCAAAATTTAAAACCATGTTCCCAATAACTCCTAAAGCTTCACATGCAAGTGTGTCACATTATTACCCGCGAGTAATTATTATCTAGAGTGTTTTAAATCGCATGCACGTGTAACATATCATTATCCACTAGCAATTATTATCTATAATATTTTCAATATCATGCAAATATAACATATTATTTACAATTTTGTTGTATTTTTAGAACTTAATATGTAAACAATGTCAAATTATTATCTCCATATTATTTAACATATACATGTATCATTTCTATAGGGTATAACATTTATTCATCCACATATCTCACAGTAAAACGTGAGGTATCAACTAGTATAATATAAAACTGAGAAAATACTTAAGAAATGCAGCTACTAGCGGGGTGGGACGGGAAGGACTCCCGTGAAAAACATGTTAAGTCCTAATGGTGCAACCAAACAGCCCCTAAAGATGCTAGGATCCATCTGCCATTTAGGAAAATCAAAAGACCAATCTCAGGTTGACTTGCATAGCATCTTAAAACTGCTTCGTGTGTAGTGATGAGTAAGTTTGCTAGATCAAGAGCATCTTAAACTGATCTGGAAAGAACGTGTTTGGTTCTATCTCTGTCCTTTTTAATTACTAGTTTTTATATCAGTACATGTATATGGTTGTCTTTTACTATACTACTAATAACTTAATGATTTCTTTAAATGAAGTTGACGTCCTGCAGATGAAGATACAGTAGGAAAGATCAGTCGATCAGAAAATTCAATAGAGCGTTAAGCCGCTAACGCCTTAACCACCTGATACCATGCCAGGAGCAAGAGCAACATAAATTTCATAAGAAATACAGCACAAAATGGAAAGAATACCGAATTCCAAACATGTCATCAAGTGTGTTTGGTTGGATGAATAAAATTGGATGGGAGATAGTCGTCTAATTCTTTGATTAAAAAAAAGATAGTCCTCTAATTCTTTATCGTGTTTGGTTGGAGGGCATGGGCCCATAAAAAAAGAAGAGTAAAGTTTACGGGCGGTTCTTAAACTTATAGCGGTATGTCATCTAGGTCCCTAAACTTTCAAAATGCAAATCCATGTCCCAGAACTTGTCATTGTGTGTCATTTAGGTCCCAAATCGCCACAACCCCTTCAGGATCTTACGTGGCGTGTATTTGGCATGCCACACGGACATGACATGGTATTATTTTGACTGGCAAATGGGACCCATTTAAATTTTTTCCTTTTTCTTTTTTTCTTCTCTTTTTCCCCTTTATTCTCCTTTCTCTGTGACCCGTGCAGAAAAAAAAGGAAAAAAAAAGAAGAATGAGAAGAAAACGAAAAAGAAAAAGAAAAGAAGAAAAAAAGAGAGAAAATGACACGTTACGTCCATGTGGCATTGCCACATCAGTACCACGTAGGATCCTAGAGGGGATGTGTCAATTTGGGACCTAGATGATACACTTTGACAAGTTTTGGGACCTAGATATGCATTTTGAGAGTTTAGAGACCTACATGACACAACCCTACAACTTTAAGGACCGCCAATGCACTTTACTCAAAAAAAAATATTCTCAATATGTTAGATGAGTGAATCCGTTCAATTTGGCCAGATGAAGCCATTTATGTTTTTTTTTTGGGATGAGCTATATATGTGTCGCATGTTTTTTTTGGTTGAAAATAGTCGGATCTCTGGCCGTTGATGGTTTGATGTACGGTGGATAAACGCTTGAGGGATGCAGCTTTCCTTTTTATCGTTATTAATCCTTTGCTTTTTTTATTAGCATCGGATTTTTCATGTATGGATGATGACACGTTGGTTACATCATAGTTACATACTATTTACACTATAATTACATATGTAATTTTAAAACGTACATATGTAATTTTCGAATTTACATATATAATTTTACGACTTATGTTACACATACACTAAAATTATATATGTAATTTAGGTACTTACAATGTAAATACATGCTGATTATTTTTTGATAAAAAATATGATGCCATAAATATAGCTACTCTTTTTTTTTTTGGTGACGTGCCCCATTCACTTGGTCATGATTGGTTCAATTTTCTGTTAGCAAGCTACATGAACATGAACCAAAAACACCCTTGGTGATTAAGGTAAAGCCATCACCGACACAAAAAATAGATACTGTACATGTTTGATGCGTTTAACTAAACGTCTGACACTGATGTGTAATCCATCATCGAGGGCCTCTATAGCAAAGATTAAGGAGAAGGCCAAAACTTGGCTATCTGCAGCAGGCGTAAAGCACATCTTGCTTATGTTGTCGTGGTGTTTTTACTTCTTATTCAGTTTTTTTATACTTGTACAAATAGCTTTTACTTCTACCCTTTTCGATGAAATTGGTATGTCTGATACTAGTCGTTCGAAAAATAGGGCCTTTTGTGCAAATTCAAACTTAGGACCTGTTTAGTTCGCGAAATAAAAATTTTTAGGTGTCACATCGAACGTTTGATTAGATTTCGGAAAAGGTTTTTGGACACGAATGAAAAAACTAATTTCATAAATCGCCTGGAAACCGCGAGACGAATCTTTTGAGTCTAATTAATTCGCCATTAGCACATGTGGGTTACTGTAGCACTTATAGCTAATCATAGACTAATTAGGCTCAAAAATCGCGATTTCTCCCTAACTGTGCAATTAGTTTTTCTTTTAATCTACATTTAATGCTTCATGCATGTGTTCAAAGATTCGATGTGATGTTTTTGGGAAAAACTTTTTTTTAACTAAACGAGGCCTTATGGGGGCATTTTGTAATTACGAAAGATTAGGGGGGAACTTTTGTAATTTGCTCGTACTATATATAATCAGCTAAGGCGAAATAACTTTCTGAAATCTCCGATAGCCAGCAAACAAAGCAGGGCGGGAAGCAGGAGGAGAGGGAGAGAGGAAGCGGCGGCCATGGAGGGCGGGAGAAGCTGGAGCATCGAGAGCTACCTCAACGAGTACTTCGACATCCCCGCCAAGAACCCTCCCGGCGAGGCGCGCCGCCGATGGCGCCGCGCCGTCGGCCTCATCGTCCGCAACCGCCGCCGCCGCTTCGGCAGGTTCTCCGACGTCGACGCCATCGACGAAGCCCAGCGCCGCAAGATCCTGGTTCGTACGCAGCCCCCTCTCCCCCTCCCCCGGCGGGATCGCCATTCCCCCCCCCATCCCCGCCGCCGCGGTTGCCCCGGCGGCCGGCGAGCGTGGTAGACTGCAAGTAGAGTCGTACGGCTCGTACGACTGACTGTTCGTAGCATATCGTGCGGGTCGCTTTCGTTGAAGCGAGGTACAAATTTACCTATTCTTTCTCGAATTTTGTAAGTAATTTTTTGGGAGAGGTCAGAACTGTGGCTAACGAAATTGCTGCGAAATTTCCTCGGATTGGTCTCCTATGTGGATGCGCGCTCCCCCCCCCCCCCCCCCCCCCTCCTGATGTGGATGCGCGCGTCTGCATCCCCCACAACTTGTGCCTCTTGTTGCTGGCCATGACATCCACAAGATCTCTCAATCTCACAGCGGATTCCACGCCAAGGTTCTGTCAAATTCTTGAAGTCCATGTCCTATCATTTGAACTGCGCTGTAGCCGGGGGCTGCGATTCAGGAGGCGTTCTTTCCACGTCTCGCCTCGTTGAATTGAGTTCTTGAATTAATTGTTCTCGACCTGTTCTGGTCAAGGTTCTCATGCGACCGTCCGGATTGAGAAGACCACTTCCAGCGGAAGGCAAATGAAATAATGGATACATGTGTGTTCATACAACATTACAACTGGAAAAAGCTACATTGCATTATCTCAACCATTATCATAACATGGTCAAGTTGTACATTATCATAACATGGTCAAGTTGTACAAAAGTATACAGCAAGATAGGATCTTCTACCCTTTTTAACTTAAAGAAGTCAAGGGGGCCCCTTAATTGTCCAACCATCTCGGATCATCGGGGCATCTGACCTGTAAAAGTATCAACTAGGGTATTATCGTTTATCGGGATCAATGATCCACCTTCAGTAGGAATGTGACAGGAACCTTTCTTGGGAGGGGCAAAATATTTATGGGTGAAATCTTTGCCTTCGGGCCGGCAACGATGCCTGTGGGTGCCGTTTTCCTCTTGGGGCGTTGCTGCATAATCTCATCTCTCCCAGTTACTTTCTTCAGGTGAAAACGATGTCCTGACTCCCTGGGGCAGGCGGTGGTAACGCTTTCGGTGTTGTTCCCTTCTTGGAGGCGTCGCTTCGAAGATCTTTCATTCTTGTTTCCGCTATCGCGGCATGTGTTGTCATAGACGCGCGGTGTGGTTGTTTTTTTTCTTTCCTTACTATAGTTTTTCAGGACTATAGACTTGTATATTTCTCATGCTTTATCAATACATGAAACTCACACTGTCTTGTGCAATTCGTTTTAAAAAAATGATCCACCTTAATTGTCTGGCCAACTTGACCATCGATTTATTAATCCATCCATCACATATTTCTCAAGACTAACCATCCAGCCTATTGTCTAACATGGACAAATCATCCTGACAATGCAAATTTTAGTATACATCTCAATTAAATCATACTTCGATTTATTTTTACTTGAACTCTTATTTTGGGGAAACGGATTGTTTACTTCAACCTGTTATTGGGCTTCAACTGACTAGAATTGAGCTAGACAAGTCTACCGTGAATCATTACTAGATAAAGGAAAAACAAGCCTAACTGACTATTGCTGCTTCTGCTTTTATTACTTTTTTTGGGGGGAATACGCAAGGAGCGCATCTTTGTATTAAGGAGTAATAAAAGTTATTTACAGGAAAAATACAAATGTGGTGAAGGGGACAAGATACAGGAAGGGAAAAAACGAAGGAAAATAAAATCTAATCTCGCAAAAAACTTCTGCTTTTATTACTGAAATTTATTTTTGAAGTCTCGTCAAATTACATCCACGAGTGAAGGCCAAAAAAACAAGGAGTGTAGTTGTGTAGATGATAGTAGTAATTCCTTTTGCCATCAACGGTCCCCTTGAGAACATAAAATTCATGTAGGTTATTTTATTATTTGATAGCACAAGTAGATTGTTTTTGTTCTTTTCTTAGAGATGCTTCTTTTTCTTGTCCAGGGAAAAGTTCAGGTTGTAATTAACGTGCACAAGGCAGCGCTGCAATTTATTGATGGTGTGGTCTCAACTAATTATTTCTGGTTTCTGCTCTTATCATAATCACAATATGTCATTTCACCTTATATCTAATGATGTAGGTGTAAAACAATATCATCTACCTCCTGAACTTATTGAAGAAGGATTCTGTATCAGCCCAGATGAACTAGCAGCAATTGCTAACATGCGTGAAGATTATACAATGCTCAGGATGCATGGTGGAATCAATGGAATATCTAGAAAAATCAAAGCATCATTGGAAGATGGTGCCAAGGAAACAGATATAGCAACCAGACAGATGCTGTATGGAGCTAACAGGCACGCTGAGAAGCCCCCTAGAAGCTTCTGGATGTTTGTGTGGGATGCATTGCATGACTTGACACTGATTATTCTAGTGGTATGTGCTCTGGTTTCTATAGTGGTCGGCCTTGCCACCAAGGGATGGCCGATGGGTATTTATGATGGTTTTGGCATAATACTCAGCATTTTGTTGGTGGTACTAGTTACTGCAACCAGTGATTACCAACAAGCTCGGAAGTTTATGGAACTGGACCGTGAGAAGCAAAAAATATATATCCGTGTAACTAGAGATAAGAAAACAAAGGAGGTTTTAGTTCATGACTTGGTTGTCGGAGACATCTTGCATCTTTCTATAGGCGATGTGGTTCCTGCAGATGGTCTGTTTATATCTGGTGACTGCCTAATGATAGATGAATCAAGTTTGTCTGGTGAGAGTGAGCCAGTTAATATTTCTGAAGAGAGGCCTTTTCTTCATGCTGGGAATAAAGTAGTAGATGGGGCAGCTAAGATGCTTGTTACTGCCGTTGGTACGCGTACTGAGTGGGGCAAAATCATGGGTACTCTGAATGGAGATGGTGTGGATGAAACTCCTTTGCAAGTTAAGCTTAATGGTGTGGCTACAATAATTGGCCAGATTGGATTGGTGTTTGCTGTGCTAACATTTTTGGTACTTCTAGCGAGGTTCTTGGCTGACAAGGGAATGCATGTTGGTTTGTTAAATTGGTCTGCAAATGATGCATTGACAATAGTCAACTACTTCGCTATTGCAGTCACAATCATTGTTGTCGCAGTCCCTGAGGGTCTACCATTGGCTGTGACTCTTAGTCTGGCATTTGCTATGAAGAAGTTGATGCATGACAAAGCACTAGTTAGGCATCTCGCCGCATGTGAAACCATGGGTTCAGCAAGTTGCATTTGCACTGATAAGACAGGGACTTTGACCACGAACCACATGATTGTTGATAAGGTTTGGATTGGTGATGTCAAGTTTGTTGGGGACAAAAAAAATTCTGAGCTAAAAAGCACGATTTCAGAAAGAGTTATGGCGATCCTTATACAAGGCATATTTGTGAATACTGCGTCTGAAGTGGTGAAGGGAGACGATGGAAAAAATACCATCTTAGGCTTGGCTACTGAAACGGCATTATTGGAGTTTGGCTTGAGCTTGGAAGAACATTTATATGATGACTACAATAAGTTGACTAGAATAAAAGTAGATCCTTTTAATTCAGTTAAGAAAAAGATGTCTGTGACAATACAATTACCTAATGGAGGCATCAGGACCTTCTGCAAAGGTGCGTCAGAAATTATTCTGGAACAGTGCAATACCATCCACAATACTGATGGAAATATAGTACCGCTGTCAGAAATGCAGAAGCATAATGTATTAAATATAATCAATTCGTTTGCTTCTGAGGCATTGAGAACACTTTGCATCGCATTTAAGGATATGGATGAATTTCCCAATGATCAACCTATATCAGATGATGGTTACACACTAATAGCAGTTTTTGGTATAAAGGATCCAGTCCGTCCTGGTGTCAAGGATGCAGTAAGGACCTGCATGGCTGCTGGTATTAGAGTAAGAATGGTGACGGGAGACAACATCAACACTGCTAAAGCTATTGCCAAGGAATGTGGAATATTAACGGAGGATGGAATAGCAATAGAAGGACAACAGCTTAACAATAAGAGCTCAGATGAACTGAAGGAACTCCTACCAAAAATTCAGGTTTAGTTGTACTCTCTTGTTTTCTTTTCATTAATTAAATGCGAATATAAGCTAAATCTATGTCCCAAGCTCAGGTAATAGCTCGCTCCTTGCCTATGGACAAATACAAATTGGTGACAAGCCTGAAAAGTATGTATCAAGAGGTTGTTGCGGTGACTGGTGATGGAACCAATGATGCCCCAGCACTGCACGAGTCAGATATTGGACTAGCAATGGGTATCACTGGAACTGAGGTATCTATGAATGTTTTTCGGTAATTTATGTTGTTTTATTCCTCTATGACCTTAATATGTTCGGTTTGAGCGTGTCTTGAAGTGAGAACTGGGAAATGCCCTTTAGTCTAAACCAATTTTCTACAAGGGCTTATCTATATCCTGACTTAATAATAATATTAGCTGTATTTTTTAAAAACATATTCCTAGATGTTTAATATTGTCAGTGCTAAAAAAAGGAGCAAACGGTACAAAAATACAATTTAATTATTTTGCATAAGGTCGATTTCCTTGGCTGTAACAGTATTCATCATTGTTTAGTGACATTTGATTTTCCGTGTATGATATATCTGTGGACAAGTTGTGATGCAAGTTTTATCTGTTTGCAGGTTGCAAAAGAGAGCGCTGATGTTATAATAATGGATGACAATTTCGAAACCATTGTAAATGTTGCTAGATGGGGCCGTGCAGTTTACTTAAACATCCAGAAGTTTGTGCAGTTCCAGCTTACAGTTAATATTGTGGCTCTGATTGTGAATTTTGTCTCAGCGTGCATCATAGGTATTAGCACACTTGCTACCACTCTAATATTATTGATCTAATGATGACTGTTTGAAATGAATGTGTATTGTTTTCTAGAATAAATTCGTATGCATTTTATTTGGAATGCATATGCAACTTATGATATAATATTTCCTTTTTGCTACACATTTTAATAATAAAGTCATATATATTGTTATTATGGCTGGAAATAGAGGATTGATAGGGTAGATCGCCCTCAAGTCGCTGGCTTCTCCGGAAGACCGAGGCTTTGATCTGTTTGACTTGGTGGGCAAAATCCTTAATTTCTTTATTGCTTAAGTCCCTAATACAATAGCAGGCCCCCTTTATATACTAGGTGCCAGTCTAATATTTAGGAAATCTAAGACAAACTAGGAATAGGAAACAGAATCCTAAACCAACTAGAATTAGATATATCTACTGATTATTCCTATTCCTATTCCTATGGTATTTGATTCCATAACGCCGGTCTATAATAATTGTCCTCTCTTCTTCCCTTTACTTGAAGGGAGTGCACCACTTACTGCTGTTCAGTTGCTATGGGTGAACATGATTATGGATACGTTGGGAGCCTTGGCCTTAGCCACAGAACCACCAAATGACGAAATGATGAAGAGGCCCCCTGTTAGGCGAGGAGATAATTTTATCACTCGGATTATGTGGAGAAATATTCTTGGCCAAGGTTTGTATCAGCTCCTTGTGCTGGCTACTCTAATGGTTATTGGAAAGAAACTCCTTAGTATTGAAGGTCCTCAATCTGATAAAACCATCAATACTCTCATATTCAACTCTTTCGTCTTTTGCCAGGTATGTGAACTACAAGTCCCTTTTACATGCAAATGAGTCAATTTTGTTGTTTTTGTCTATGGATTTTATTTATGTTTGATATTTCAAGTTCTCATATTATAATTGACAGGCTATCATTTACATTATTCTCGGCCATTTCAGATGTCATGTTCACTTTGTAGAGGCTAAGACATTTAATTCTGTGCAAAGCTCATTGACATGTGATATCTGATAATAATTTTCAATATGCCATGGACTCTCTGATGACTTCAGCAAACCATAGAAAATAATCATGTAGTAATCAGTATATGTTTTTCCATTTTCGTTAGAAAAACGATCCAGACAAATTTAATAATTTTCAGAACAAAACAAAGCTTTTTCCGTGCGCATTTCACATATCCTGATGCTATGATTCTATAAAATGCAAGTGCAAAGTAAAGGCAATATTCATTAAACAAGTGATCTATTGTGGAAATTAGGAATCAGTGCTTTATTTTAATGGTAATTTTACCATCCTTGAGAAGGTATCGGGAGGTAACACATTTTCTAGTGTAAAATTTGGTACATTCAGGTACTAAAATACCTTGAGTATAAAAAACTTTTGTGTAAAATTTAGGTACCTTGAGGTACTTTCTCAAGGAAGGTAAAATTTCTCTTATTTTAACGGTAAGTTTCATCTGACATGTTACCATGCTTCCAGGTTTTCAATGAAATAAATTGTAGGGAGATGGAAAAGATCAATGTCCTCCAAGGTATCTTCAGAAACTGGATCTTTGTTGGTATATTGACAGCTACTGTCATATTCCAAGTGATCATAGTAGAATTTCTTGGCACTTTTGCAAACACTGTACCATTGAGCGGGGAGCTGTGGCTGCTCAGCGTCGTCATTGGCTCAATTAGCATGATCATCTCTGTTATCCTCAAGTGCATTCCAGTTGAATTTAATAAGACAAATACTAAACCCCATGGTTATGAGTTGATTCCTGAAGGCCCAGAGATTCTATAGCAGTTTCACGGGAGGTGCGGAAATTCCGCTCAAACTGCGGTTTCTGCGGTCAGCAACCCAATCAATCATAATGGAAAAGGATGCACTGTAAGGATTTCTCTACTGATGTAATTTTGTTGAATATGATCATGTGTTTCTGAACATGATATACTGAAGAGTTGAAGTAGATGTTATAACCAGCAGATATGTGATGAAGTATACGGAATAGGACCAATCATGCTGCAAGATCAGACAGCCTACGGGATTTATGGTGTTGATTCAAGATTTCAAGTAGATATGGCTGCTACATGAGAATGTCGCAGCAAATGTGGACTGCTTGGAGGCTTCGTTGCAAAGCGTACAGTTTGAGCTGGTTCTGCAGAGTTCAGCTTGAGATTTGAGCGTACAGTTTTGTAAAATTGAACTCTAGGTACTAACAACTGTCGAAATGGTATCATATTATTACCCTTCGTGCTTTTCTCTTCAGCGGTGAACTGTGTATAACGTGTAATTATTCTTTTTTATGTATAATAAAGCAAATTGTGTGTAACTATTCTTTTTATGTATAATAAAGCAAATTGTGCGTAACTATTCTTTATGTATTCTTTGTGCATAAGAATGGATGTCCTACATGTGAATAATGTTGTGTTCTAAGGTGAAGTTGGGAACCTTCCCTTCCCTCCCCGCACGGCAAACGTGGTATCATTAACACGTGATTAATTAAGTATTAGTTAATAAAGCTTAAAAATGAGTTATGAGCTTTTAAAATAATTTTCTTATATGTATATTTTTTAAAACGTATCGTTTAGCAGTTCGAGAAAACATACGCAAGAAAAAAGAGGGAGAAGTTGGGAATATGGACAATCGAACATAGGGATGAAAACGGACGGAAACCACCTTTATCATTTTCGTTTTTGTCGACGTTTGATGTCTCGACTACGGTATTTGGACAGTATGGGGATCGTCGGTGCTAGGATATATGCGAGACTAAGGTAAAAGAGATGGAGACAGGGATTTTTATACAGGTTCGGGCCCCTGAGTTGTCAGGTAATAACCCTACATCCTGTTGGCCGAAGCCGGTATTGCTCTTATTCACCATAATCACACCAGTACAATATGTGGGTAGCCTATCTAACTGTTGTCGACATGGCGGTCTGAAGGTCTGACTCGTAGTCGACAACAGGGTAGCCTTCCTCCTCGAGCTCGCGCCCGATGGAATCAAAGACAGTGCTAGATCCCTACGGCCGGCCTCTGAAGGTACCGGATAGGGTCGATCCAGGCGTATCTCTGATGTCGATATCCGGCGGCTTGTCTTGGTGTATGTAGGCTTCTATGTTGATTGTGTTGGGAGTTGATTGTCTCGTGGTGGGTGTTGATCGTCTCATGGTGGGGGTTGATCGTGTTGATAGTTTTGATCCTCCATGGTGGGTGTGTGTCCCTCTGTCCTCCTAGGGGGGCTTGTATTTATACCCATAGATGTCCCCTTGTCCAAGTAGAACTAGGGAAACCAATATGGATACAATCCGAGTAGTCCTTGTCGTTTCCATGTAGAACTCTGATTGTCTTTCCTTATCCGGAACTCCTCCTATATCCGAAGGTTGCTTCCGTATAGGACATGGTATGTGGTGTATCTTGCCGAGATTTAGTCAACTACTATTAGGTATGTAGTATCCATAACCCTGACAGTTTTCATATTTTTTTTCGGAATCAGAAATCGTAGATATAAAAACGGAATCGAATATTATCGAAACTGAAAACGGAACGAAAACAAACAGGTGCGAATATGGTAACAAAATTTTATCAAAATACAAAACCCCTCAAACTGAGCTTCAAACTTTGTCAAGTTCAATTCTCAAATCTCAATAGTAAACAATTCATCATAAAACACAATCATATCAAGTCCAATTGTTAAGTCTCAACAGTACATCATAAAACACAATCTATGAAATAAATGATCTATGTCTAAGAGAGAAATATTGTCGATAAATCCCAATGCAAGAATTTAGGAATTGGGCCAGGCTATTATTGTGTTGTATGGGCTGTGCTACAGGTATGGAGGGTATGGAAATTCCGAGAAAATTTTTAGAAAGTTTCAACTGATTCCGAGTTCCTACGAAAACTGCCCTAATCATATTTGATTCTGTTTCCGAGAAAATATTTCCCAATTCGTTTACTTTTTCGAAAAATTCTGACCGATAGATTCTGTTTTTGAAAATAGCTTTGGAATTCAAAAAGTTTCCGTACCGTTTTCACTCCTAATCGAACATGGCTAAAGGGTTAGCGACAACAAAAACAAGCGGGAAAAACTCCATAGCACAAAAACTCGCAGGTCATCGACTCACCGTGCTAAGATAAAAACAAAACTACCAAAGAAAATTGCCAAAAATCCATGGCGATGAGAAATCTAAAATAACCTGAAATAGTGAAATGTGATGGGAGTCAACATGGTCTGAACAGTGCAGGAGACAAGAAAGCAAGTGTAAACTAAAATCTTGGACCAGAAAATGATCAAATCAACTCATCTAAATTTCATCCTCCATACTTCTATTTGGATGGCCATCCAAAAAGATTCACATTCTATATAACTTTTCACTCCAACAGATTATCCATATTATATCCTACATATACCAACATCCTATATTTTACTAATAATTTTCAACTACTACACATTTTTACTCCTACTTCTCTCACCTTTCACCACTTAAAAAAATCTTGGTAAGTGGGTAGTTGAGGATGGAGTGAGGAGAGAGAAACTCTATATTTGGCTTGGGAAGGGCTAGATTTGGAGGACCTCCAACAATGGAGTATGTATGTGATGGAGACTCTACTGGAGCATTGTTTTTCTTCTCCATACTCTAAATATCAGATGGATGACTAGATAGAGAAGCTGCTGGGATGCTCTAACAACCCACCACAATCAAGCTTAACCTCGCTTTAGAAAACGCTTTTGGATAGCATGCTGCCGCTAAACGCAATCACAATCAAAAGCCAACCCTTGCACGCCCGAATTAAATCACCCGGTTGGTCACCTGTGCAGCAGCTGCACCGCCCCGGCTCGGACCAGCCCCACCTACTCCACCGCCCCGCCGGTTCATTCATCCACGCTGACGCTGACGCGGCGAGAAACCACGGCGGAATCCGCGCCGGCTCCACCTGTCAGAAACGTGGCGTGGGTAAGCCCAAGTTTAGTTCCAAAATTTTTCTTGAAACTTTTAATTTTTCCATCACATCAAAACTTTCCTATACACATAAACTTCCAACTTTTCCGTCACATCGTTCTAATTTGAACCAAACTTCTAATTTTGGCGTGAACAAGGGAAGAAAACGGATAATATGCGACTTGATTCGCGCGATTTGGATAAAATACCACCCCTGTATTTGTACATGATAAAATATCACTTAATATATTGTCTTCCACCTTCCAGTGAAAAGCTTTCGAAGAATTTTAGCCCAAAAACATCCTTGGTTGTGGAGAGAGAAGGAAAGGGGAGGGTCGAGCCGGACGACCGTCGTCCCCGGCGGTGGCGCCGCTCGTCCGCTCGCTTCTCACCGTCGATCTCCAGCGCCGCTCGGGCGCTCACGACTTGTCACCCATTGACTAACGCGCGCCACCCGACCACTCACTGAACGTCGCCTCCAGCCGTCTCTGTGAGTAGGACTAGGTCCAGCAATATGGCACGGTCATTGTCCGACCCTCCAGCGCTCCTCTTTTCCCTCTTTCTTTTCACAAAAGAGAGCATTTTGATCTAAAATTCTTTAGCGTTATTTTAATCGGGAAAAATGTATTAAGTGATATTTTATATGATGTATTTTATTATCTGTATCTACATTTTATCGAAACCACCCATATTATCCGTTTTCTCTACCCAACAAGGCGGGTTTACGGGGTCCACCTGTCGGATGCCTGCATCCGTCAGTCCACCGGTCACCCGCTCGTCAGAGGTAGGTCGCCGTCGCCGCGTCCCCCTCCGCCGCCGGCTCCCGTCGCTCTCCGGTCTCACGCGCCGCGCGGCCGCAGCAGCAACAACAACAACAACCCGTTTTGACCGCGCCTTCCTCCTCCGCCGGCCCGCGCGCTCGCCGCGCGCGGCCGCCACGGGTTTCTCTCTAGAAGCCCCGCACGAATTTTATCCGTTTTTTCGCATTCTCCCCGCCTCATCTCCTCCTTGACACCGACCTCTCCTCCTCGGCTCGGGGAATTCAAACGCGCGGCCTCGCCGGGTGGCCTCGCCTCGCCTCGCCGCGTTCCGACAGCGAGTGCCCCGCTGGTGCCACTATTTCTTGCCGCCCCAACCCCTCGCATCGATCCCCCACACCCACATCTCGCCTCCTCTTCCTCGATCCTTTGTCTTCTTGCTTAGCTAGCTCTGCCATGGTGGGGAGCTACGCGGCGGGAGGGGGACGGGGAGCGGCAGTGGCGGCGGTGGCGGAGGGGAAGCTGGACGAGCTGCGGCGGAGGATGGGGAAGGCGGACGGCGACCTGCTGAGGATCGTCGGGGTGGGGGGCGGGGCGTGGGGGAGCGCCTTCTGCGCGCTGCTGCAGGACGCGTACGGGCGGCACCGCGACAAGGCGCAGGTGCGGGTGTGGCGGAGGCCCGGGCGCGCCGTCGACCGCGCCACCGCCGAGCACCTCTTCGAGGTCATCAACTCCCGGGAGGACGTCCTCCGCAGGCTCATCCGCCGCTGCGCCTACCTCAAGTACGTCGAGGCCCGCCTCGGCGACCGCACGCTCTACGCCGACGAGATCCTCCGCGACGGCTTCTGCCTCAACATGGTCGACACGCCGCTCTGCCCGCTCAAGGTCGTCACCAACCTGCAGGAGGCGGTCTGGGACGCCGACATAGTCATCAACGGCTTGCCCTCCACCGAGACCAGGGAGGTGTTCGGGGAGATCGGGAGGTATTGGAAGGAGAGGATCAGACCCCCCGTGATCATCTCGCTGGCCAAGGGGATCGAGGCGTCGATTGACCCCGTGCCCCGGATCATTACCCCGACACAGATGATCAGCAATGCAAGTAAGTTCTTTGCTCTCGAGTGAGTTTGATTATCATATCCATTTTTACTAATTAGTTTCAATTACAGTATCAAATCGATTATTCGGTTGCTATTTTACTACTATTTTCGTTGATCGTTGTACTTGTGTCCTTGTGGGAATAATGGACACATAAAGAAAAGGTAGTTGCTGCTGAACTGGGACCAAGATACATACCTCCAGAATATTCTTGATAAAATGTGCAGGCTATTCTTGATATGCACCTAATGTGATGTCCTTCATGTTTATTGCAATTATTATACCCAACACAATGTCTATTGTTGAATGTTATGAGAGCTAGTTAAGGCCTTCAGTATGTGCCCATGTGCTATGTTTCTTTGCAATTCCTTTAGGGGTAATGCATCTTATTTTTAGCAGAGTTTATCCAAATTAGTACCCAGTACTGCACGTTCCGTGTCACGTTTCTACCCAGTATTAACTTCTGATATGCTCCTAAGTTTTTGTTTCACTGTATAATTGATTTTACCATCCACTGGTCTTCATCTTTCCTACCATGTTGTAGCCTTTAATGTTTTTTGTTTCTTATGATGGGCCTATTGCAGCTGGAGTTCCATTGGAGAATATTCTATATCTTGGAGGTCCTAACATTGCATCTGAGATATATAACAAAGAATATGCAAATGCTCGCATATGTGGAGCTGACAAGTGGAGAAAACCTCTAGCTAAATTTCTGAGGCAGCCTCATTTTATTGTGTGGGATAATAGTGATCTCATCACTCATGAAGTAATGGGCGGCTTAAAGAACATATATGCCATTGGTGCTGGTAAGTTCCATGGTCTCATATCTGACGTTTTATGTCCATATCACCTTGAAAATTTTTAACTGGGAAAATAAAACCATCATGTGGCTTTTCTTGTTGAAGCTCACACACAATGCTTGGCAAAAGTATGACCAGTTCAAACAACGAAGCCATAAAATTGTTATGTTTGCATAATGCTGAATGCTATCTGTCCTGTAGGAATTGTATTCAGTATACGTTGAATTGCTATTATCTCTTATGTCAAACGCAATGCTGCTTTGACATTTCATCAAACCTATCATAGATTAGAAAGAGTAAATCAGGTCATCTTGGGTAATGAGGTTCCCCTATGCATACATATTCGTTATAACCTTCTGCATTAATATAGAGGATCTTGATTTAAGTCATGTTGTTAAATACCTTGTTATCTTGTAGGTATGGTGGCTGCACTAACCAATGAGAGTGCAACCAGCAAATCGGTTTACTTTTCACTTTGCACGTCTGAAATGATATACATCACCCATCTCCTAGCCGAAGACCCTGAGAAACTTGCCGGGCCTTTATTAGCCGATACCTATGTAACACTGCTGAAAGGTCGTAATGCATGGTATGGGCAGAAATTAGCTAAGGGTGAACTGACTCTTGAAATGGGGGACAGTATCAAGGGCAAAGGGACTATCCAGGTTGGTGCTACCTTCTTAATGATGTAAATCTTTCCATACTTCTGGGTGTGTTTTTGGTGCCGAATAGCCATGTGCTAAGATTTGCTGTGATTTTATCTTTAGGGTGTCTCTGCAGTCCATGCATTTTATGAGCTCTTGAGCCAGAGTAGCTTAAGCGTGACACATCCAGAAGTGAAGAAGCTTGTTGCTCCGGTCGAGCTGTGCCCAATACTAAAAACACTTTATAAAATCCTAATCAAGAGGTTGGTCAGATTACCTTTGTTGCTGTTCCTGCTAGTACTAATATATGTGTACAGGCTTAAGTTCTTTGCACATTTCACCTGCAGGGAGCTTGCCACTGACTCCATTCTCCAGGCAATACGAGATGAATCAATGTATGATCCACGGGAGAGGATTGAGATGTCTCAGCGCCAGTGTCTTTACCGACCATCTCTTCTTGGCCTACCTAAAGTAGATATTACCCAGGCTTAGATCTATTCTTTTTTTTTTCTGCAGATTTGTTTTGAGATTTGCAGGATTCTTTGATGTATTCTTTGCATAGTGGTCCTCAAGATCCTTCCTTGTGTGCCAAGTGCATCTCGTGTTCGAACACTGATTCCATTCTCTACTAGAGAATTTGATAATGAGGTGTTTTGGTTTTTTATTGTCAGAGTTCCAAATAGTTTCACGGGCTGATGCCCCCCACATGTGTATATAAAGTACAACCACTGTTGATTCAATTGTATTTGTTGCTCCTTTAGAGCCTGTTCACTTTGATGCCAAAAAAAAACCTTACCAAATTTTGGCATTGCCGAAATTTTAGCGTAGTTGCCAAAATTTTAGCAACTTGCCAAAATTTTGGCAAGATTTCTTATATAGTCACCAAAATTTAGTAGCAAACTAAATATAATCACTTTTTTTAGCAACTTTACCAAAATTTAGTAAGGTTTAAAATGGCATCAAAGTGAACAGGCCCTTAATATATTTCTTACCATTGCAGGGAACGGATACCTGCTTTCTTTTCTTATTACTTATATAGATACACAGAAGATGCATACGTTCCCAGTTCACCTACGCGGTGGTTCATGCGTCTTCCCTGTAATCGAAAGGAAAAAAAAGGGACCATCTACAAAACCGCTGCAAGTTTTTTAAAGGAAAAATTTTTAAATCTAACTATAATATATAATTGTAATATACTTCTACTATAACTATAATATAAGTATTAAAATAATATATGCAACTTGATGGCCTGTTCTGATTGTAACCAAAATAAACCTTACCAAATTTTAGCAATGCTAAAATTTTGGCAAGTTGGCAATATTAACAAAATTTTGGCAGAATTTATTATGTATTTACTAAAGTTTGGTAACAAACTAAACGTAGACACATTTTTAGCAACTATACAAAAAAAAATGGTATGGTTGAAAATAACATCAATCTGAACAGCCTCTATATCTAACTTATATAGAGATTATAATATAGTTACAATATAACTATAGTGTAACTATAGTTGCATTTGATTTTTTTTTCAAAAAAAAAAACTTGTGACAGTTTTTTAGCCATTCTGATAAATAACTACTGTTCATGGTTTCCTTGGCCCATTTACGGACTGTGAAAGCAAAAGGAAATGAGAACATGAGGCCCGTTTATCGGTCTATGGCTAGCTAATCCATCCGTAAACAACGTTAGCCGGCTAGCCCAACTAATGGCCCATTGCGCCCCGTCAAAGACAACTTTAAGTGTTTTTTTTCTCTTTTTCATCTACTATCTTTGTGATTAATAAATAATATCGTTGACTTTTAAATAACATTTGAGTATTCATTTTACTTAAAAATTTTACGTAAATATGCTAAAGTGTAAGTTGTACTTAAGTTTTATTTAATGGTAAAACATGTCACAATAAATTAAATGATATTTATATAATTTTTTTAATAGAACGGATGACCATATGTTATGTAAAAAATCAATGACGTTACCTATTAAAACCCAGAGGGAGTATTAGAAGTGAGCATGCATAGTTTCAGCAGTGCAGAAAGTAACAAGGAAAACAAATTAAAACACCATACGACTACTGAAGCCTGATTTCCTAATAACCATCTGATCATCTCCTCAGGCTTTACATCCAGGTGCCATCATATCCCGTCTTAGCAGCTAAAACCTGGGAGGAAAATCCACATGAGGGACATAATTAAAAAGTGATGAGCAATGCTCCGGTGCTTTCTACTTGGAGTATTATACTACAAGTAAAATTAATCTCGACCGTTCATTTTAAAGGGTAGATTAGTAATCTCCTAATATATATTAGGGGCAATTTTGGCAGGATCTATTTTCTCTGTCTCGGTCGGTCTTGGCTTGATCGCATCAGGTCCGACGAAAAGCACCGCATCTCGCCCGACGCACGTTGCTTATCGCTACTCCTCCCGGCACGCCGTGGCGCGGTGCGGCGAAACCCTCAGGCGTCCCCTCCTCCCACCTCTCACCTGTCTATCCGTTCCTCCTCCTCTCCTGTATTCCACGTCGGCATCCTGGTTCGCCATCGTGGCCTTCTGTCCGCTGCGAGTGGCCTTCCGCGCGCGTCCGATTCCGCCGGAGCCCCTGCGCAAGACCTGAGATTCTTGGCAGCGCCCACTTTGGAGGATTCAATCCATTCCGCCGGCGGGTAGTGATCTCCATTCCGTGTTGCTCCGATTGTGTGGGCTGCGGCCACTTGGGAGGCAGCTGCGATACATTCCAGCGCCGTATCCCCGGTCCCCCTCCGTGCGTGCCCGAGTCTTGTGGCTTGCATCGGCGAGCACCTCCTCGACCGCGAGCACGGCATGAGATGCAGAATATGCAACAGTGTCGCTCGCTGCGTGTTGCCGTGGAAGGCGTCGCCGGCGAACCTGATAGACCGCAGTGCTCAGAGGTTTCAGCACATCCGTGCTCGCGGCGGCGTCAGGACACTGGATCGGACGCTGAACGATGCATGTGGCATGCCCGATCTGCTAGCTCAGGATGGTGGCCGGCGACTGTCCGCACGCTCTCCTGCGGGCATGACTTCCACGAGGATTGCAACATCGCGAAGTGGCTCCGTGACAACAAGAAGGCCTGCCCAGTTCATTCTGCTTGTAATATTCAGTTGTATGGTGTGTCGAATACTTCATTGACTAATTGACGAGCTTTGAGATACTGATGTTTATTGGATCTTGTGACTGTCCCAATATATTCATTGTTCAGTAATGGTTTAAGTAAAAAAGAAAAGGTGAATAGTGATGGACTACTAGTAATGTCAATGTGTTGACCATGTCAGTGTGTTGTGCATTTTTTTTGTGTGCAACTGTGATGGGGTGAGATGAATCCAAGCAATTTGAACTGAAATATGTCATCCTGCTCCTGGATCAGTAAACAAGTTGTTTTGCTCCTGAAAGAGTGAGACTGAAAAAATCTGATAAACTGCTTAAATGAGATTTTTCACTATCAGAGTTTTGCCCATATGTAAATTGCATTTCAGTCAGAGCTGTAATTCAGGATTTGTTTTATATTTCATACCATCGAAACATCTAACTGCATTCTGTCATATTCTGGCGCTCTGAATCATCGCTACATGATTCCTTTCTTGTGCTCATATGGGGGTAGCTAAGCCCTCAATTGCCACTAAATTGATTTTTTTTCAGTCATAGGACAATGTCTACTAATGGGGGCTTAGAACATCTTGATTCACTCTTTGCTGCAAACTCCCTGGTCTACTGTCGTGTTTATGCAAAAGCATTTGCATTAGCTCCGCGGCAGCTTGTGAAGTCATGCACAGTCCCTATTCATGTAGCATCCAAACACCTCATTCCCAAGTCCCTTAGCCGCTCGTACGGTCGCCGGCGGCGACCAAATGCCACCGCCTCACTCGAGCTCCGCCACCGCACGTCGCCGGCTGCCATAGCTCATTTCTTGGCCAATCCGAGCCGTCCACCACATCCCCATACTACACTCGTTCATTCCCAGTTGCCCATTCCTCCTACCTCGCCGCCGTTCGCCGGAACCCGTTGAATTTCGTCCGCCGTCCAATTGCCCGGCGATCTCCTGTCTTGGTCAAAGCTACATGGCAGGACTAGTCGTCCGCCGTGGGCAAGGACCTTCAGCGGCTTGGCGAAGAGGAGAAGGGCCACCCTTGGTCGCTGGAGGGGGAGGAGATGTCGATCGCGCTGGAAATGATGGAGGCGGAGAGGGAGATGGACAAGCGACGAAGTCAACGATGGATGGGGTCAGGCGCTTGAGAATGGCGAAGGTTTAGAGTTACTGAATAATAATTTACGATAATACCCTTATATGAATTATTATCTATGGACAAATATACCCCTCCACGTTTCTACTACCACTATGAGTGGTGGTAGTAGAATTAGATCTCAACCCTACGATTATATACGATCAACGGCTCGGATTATTTTCTACTATAAGTAGAAAGCACCGGAGTGAGGCACAAAAGTGATTACACGTTCGTCCCATATAATTTCTTCACACACAAGCTAAACTAGCTAATTATTAAATGCGCGTGATCATCCTATAATTGCACGACAAAATTATCTATATTATCAGATCGGATGGAAAATGACCGGATGGAAACGGACGTGTCCATGATGATCAGTCCATCAAACTAGCTGTTTCAATTTGCATCGTTTTCACGTACTCACGCTCACGCTCACGGGCCCTCGCCTTTTTCACAGGGAGAAAACTGAAAAGAAGAGCTCCTGGATGTGCTCATGTGACGAACCCTAATTTAATCCGACGCGTTAACCCCAACCAACAAGACAAATGCACGCAGAGTCAATCGCCCGATCGAAAACAGCTTCCCGCCAAGCGCCTGACCGATCTCTGAAGCGAAAGTTGCACCAGCAGCTAGCTATAGCTCATTTAATCGTTTCTGCAAGAATTTGACATTTTTGGGGATCGAGCAGATGAACCTTTTTTTTTTCCTGATGTTGTGTGTTCACGTGGGGGAAAAAAACATTTGGTGGGGTTGATGATCATGTAGTGTAGTGTTTGGAGAGCCACAGCTGTCGGATCTAATTCTCTCGTAATGTCGGTCGCTTGTGCCTCGAGATTCATGATACGCCCTCTGTTCCTTTCGTTTGTAACTTGACATAGTTGGCCAGTGTGATTTTTCTTTTTTTTTTTGCAAATAAAACTTTTGAATTATGTTGTTTTTATATTTTCACCTTATTAGGCACCAGCTGACCAGCAACATGAGATGATTTGCCTGCCAATCTGCCATGTATATGTTGCTGACCTGCCTAGTACTCCATTCGTCCCAAAACAAGTCAACATCGTACTACGATGTGACACATACTAATACAAATATAGAGTATATCCAGATTTATTGTACTATAATATATTATAACTTAATATGATATTGGTTTATTTTGAGACGAATAATGTAGTTGTTACGAAGAGCATTTATCATGTCTGGAATTGAATTCCTGTTGCGATTTTACAACTAGTTAGCACACGCAAAGTTTTATATGTTCTTATGAAAAATCAAATCACTCGCAGCAATCCAAAGCTTTACACTGAAACTACTCCTAAAAATCTATGAATCGATACGCCGCGTCTGAATCCGAACAGCTGCCGTCTTACATATGTCGGGCTGTCGGCTGGATTATCTTTGGATGCAAATATATAAGTTATCTCTGCTGTATCAGAGAGCAAGCCAAGCTATCTATGTTGTCCTTGCGTGATTGTACAATCTAACTAGATTAGATTAACCAAGAGGAAAATTGTCCTTCGACAAGCTAGCTCACCAGCAGCTTAATTAGCTAGCTCCATCTGCATCATGGGCAATGGATGCGTTGCGTGCAGATATTCTCAACGACAGATCAAAACGAATTCGATCGTGTGGTAGCCAAAAAGAAATATCGGTTTTACACTGCCGGAATATCTAGCTATAGGACATTTCTTCTGCAAGTGAAGTTAATCAGGTTGTCCAAAAAAAAAAGGCTATCGTGGTCACGGGAACAGACGCCTGTATCTCGCTGTCTGAATTTTTCTTTTCTGACGAAGAACAAAGAGAGAGAAAAAAAACGCGAGCAGAGTATGTGGTTTTGTGAATTGAGGCGCCGATTTTCCGTGAACCATCTACTGTTTACTCAAGAAAAAAACGCAAGAAGAACATGTTTACTCTCACTTTCACCTAACGCCATTCCAGAGCAAAAGCGTAATTAAGATATGTTTATGTCCTTAAAATAACAGAGAGTGAGACCAGCCGACAGGCCATCAGTTTTATTCTTGTTTAACCATTCATGCAGTTAGAACCAGCTGGATGAATATTCAGATACATGTTGTTACCGTACCTTGTAAAAAAATTGGGTTTGTGTTACTATTTTTCTTACATCGGGTTGCTTTCAAGAAGTGCTTTTCTGAATTCTGGGCCTCGTATGTAAACGCGTTGGGGGATAGTATGTGGGTGTTCGTTTTCGTCTTCTCATGGTGAATGGGATATATTACATTTATTTATTTTTGAGATTACATGTTTGTCTTTTCCAATACCATATCATAGAACTTGATAAGCCTAGGATACAATTGGAACCAAGGAATTTTTTTTTCCCGATCGCCTCTCTATACCTCCTCAAAAACCATAAATCGCCATTATAACTCCTTTGATTGGTACCACTCGTCCACTGTGACGTGATACCTACTGCATGTGTATAAGATATCTTCGAGGTATTATATCTGAAGGGCCTAAATAACCTTGTTTTTGCTTTAATCTTAATCTAGCAGATTTTCTTGTGCAACTTTATGTGGAGTTAGATTTCTAAAGTTGAATTGGATATACAACTCTAATGTCCTATTTCATCATAGATATAATTGTATTTTATATACAACATATTTTAAAAGCATAATTGGATTTATCCTACAACCCCTTCTATTTTTATTGGTACAATTTTGTATTTTATTTACAAACATCAATCAATATCAATGTTATAATTTGAACCCACTATGATCTATAACAATGTAAGGCTGTTGTGGTTGGAAACAAATCCCTCCCGCACGTAAAATGGAGCGATCCATTAGCGCGTTATTAATTAAGTATTAGTTTTTTTTAAAAAAAATTGATCAATATGACTTTTTAAAGCAACTTTACTTTAGAACATTTTTGCAAAAAACACACACACAATTTAGCAATTTGAAAAGCGTGCGCGTGGAAAACAAGTTGAGTGAGTCGGAAAAACTCAAGTGTTGAACTCAACCTAGATCTTTCTCTTTTTTTCCCCGATTAAGATACTCCCTTAGTTCCAAAATAAGCGTAGTTATGAGTTTCCGTGTTTAACTTTAATCGTCCGTCTTATTTTGAGATGGAGAAAGTAGTAATTTCTAGGTCTCCAAGCCAACATGATGCTCTTTTATATCTTTCAAGATAATACAAATGTAATATAGTCCATCCGTTAAAAAAAAACGAATATAGGACTGGATGTGACGTATCCTATTACAACAAATCTGGACAGAGACATGTCCAGATTCATTATATTAGGATGTGTCACATCCAGTATTAGGTTAGTTTTTTATGGGACTGAGGGAGTAGTAGTTACTCCCTCCATTCCATTCTAAATTGATCTACATATTTCATAGGTACACCAAGATCAAAAAAACTAATAACTCTCTCATACTATATTTACTCTAGCAACAAACTCAATGCATGCAGCATCCCCATTATTTCTTAACCAATAGCAAATCTAAATATTGTATGTGGGTAATAAATACTTGTGTACATGGATGCATGTATCAATGTCCATCTACTCTAATCCACAAATAACGAATAGACTTAATGAATGAACACAAATATGTAGATCATTTAGGAATAACCTCAAAAAAAATATATATGTAGATCAATTTAGAATAGTGGGAGTAGTAGATAAATTTTTTAAGTTAACTTTATCTGAAAAAAGTTTGATCAGAGTTGCTAGACATACGAGGGTAGCGAGAGTGTCAACTGCTACAATACATGCACGGCGAACAAAAATCAATGCAATTAGCCACAAAGCGAGAATCGAGAAGCTTTCTCTGCTGCGGCGAGGTTAATTTACCGTGAAGCAAATGGCGATCGATCTGCAGGTTGGTGCGTTGCGTTGCACCTAATCAGATTAGCCCAGGCCAAATAGTAATACGTGGTACGGTTGATGAGGATGGCCTCTAATTAATAGTGTGTGTTGACCTCTTGACTATATTATGTATCGTTGGAACTTGGGAACCGCTGATGTGATCTGTTTTTGCAGTACAGGCACCGGCTTTGGTGACCTAATATTTGTGGTCGACGATTCTTAATTATGTATGGTAGTACATACAGATATCTGCATTAATACTCTTTATTAGTACTGTATCACAAAATTTTTAGATTATATTCAGCACATTCAAGTACCAGCGAATATCAAATATAGTTAGAAAAAGGAAATTTGGAAAAGGAGAACGATAATCTATCTTCACCTTGTGTATAGCAGATTTATTCTTTTGGGGGGGTTGGCCGAAGACAAGGTTGATCAAATTTCATAAAGACAAGACCGGATGGGATGAGATTTGATTAAAAAAACTGCCTGTAAAAAGAAGTACATATGCTACTAGTGCTGAAATTTAGCCATTAGCTTCTTTTTTTTAAAAAAAAAGAAACCTTCTTGCTTCCACATATTTAATTTTAGAGAACTGCAACATGATATAGCATAGACCTCTTTTGAAATGCAGAAAAAAAATTACATAACTTTTACAGGAACTAAACAATTTTTCACAAAACAAAGACCTTTGAAAACCTCCATTGCGAAAAAAAAATCATAGTATAATTTTCAATGTTTGTTTGCACCGTGTTTTGGAGGGAGCTGAGTGTCCAGTTTGTCCACGGATGTACCACCAAACGTGTAATACTGTGCACCGAAATGAATGTTTGCATACGACACACATGACGTCTGAGATGTACGTGTCAAACAACTCGGTAAATGGACGAATGAAACGTGTGCGCGGTGTGCCAGACAGGTCAACCACATGAAACTTGACTCGGTGAATACGTGCACGTGTGAGGTCACGTTTTTGTGTGTCCCAAAATCCACAAAAAAGTAAGAACAGAACTACGGTCTGCTAGTAAATGCTGACCTTATATGCATACATGCAAACATGGTAGGAGTACACAGCAACAAGAGACTTGTTAGCAAGGTTAGCCATAAAAGTGATAATGTGTGCCAGCTCGATTATTTTGCGACTACGTGGAAGACGCACAGGCCAGGAAACGCCGATGCTTCTAAAATCGGCCATATCTGATGTTAGGTTTTTGGGCTGGTTTGGTTTGAGGCCTAAATTGGCCTTACTAATATTTGTCAATTTTAATAGTGTTTATTGTTTATTTGGTTTGGAGCCAAATTTTGGCATGCCTAAGAAAATAGGCCACTTCAACATTTAATTTAGGCTATTTTGGCTTCAATCCAAACACAATTTTACCTTTATCAAAATTAGTCATGCCAAAAGTTGTCAAAATTTGACATTGACAAAAATTGGTAAGGCCAATTTATGCCACAAACCAAACCAGCCCTTTATTCATCTAAATTTTTTTTCCTAGTGCAGCTCACAATACACAAGAAGTTAGAATGAACCTGTTTATAAACTTAAGTTAAATGAGTCTACATTTAGCATATATGGGCGAGTCATATACTATGATCACATTGTATATAAGATTAATTCCAATATAATTATGTGGGCCAATAACTTACAAAGTCGATCATGTAAATAAACCCAACTATTCCACCATGTGCTTGATCGGCGCAAAAAATGCATATACATATAAATATAAATTCTAGTATATCTCAATAACTTACAAAGTCGATCATGTAAATAAACCCAACTATTCCACCATGTGCTTGATCGGCGCAAAAAATGCATATACATATAAATATAAATTCTAGTATATCTCAATTAATTTCTCTATTGTGTTTCATCATAGTTATCCTTGGCACCATTTCACATCAGTAATTCCCCATCACACGCAGCATAAATACTTTTCACATTAAATTAAAGAAATACCATAATATAATATATAAATATTGTATGATGTCCTCCCTACTGATAATACTTCTCATTTTAAGCAAGGATGAGGTCAAACTTTAGAATATTTAATTATGAATCATTTTTAAAATATTTGTCTTTTAAATATGGTGGCCACATATATAGATTAGTCTTAAAAAATATTTTAATAAAATCACATATTTGTTAATACTTTTATATATTTTATAATAAAAAATAATGGTTAAAGTTATTTTTTTTGAGACCGTGTCCTTATTTAAAATGACAAGTATTATCAATCCGAAGGGAGTATAAAAATAAGTCCTACATCAATACGCTCAGATACCCTCCCTTAATCCCGGAGATACTTACCACGGATTCCTCCACGACACTAATCCCAACCAGAATCACCTCTGCCCCCTAATTTGCCACTAATGACAAGCTTATACAATATGTGGTCAAAGCCGCGACCGGTCTGACCACGTCCCTTCGCCGTTGATCGAGTCGACGTGGCTTTCCTGACGCCGTCGACGATCGATCGAGCAGGCCATCGATCTGGTCGTCCGTAATTCATCTACTAACCGCTTGCGGCTGCAGGTTCGCGCGCACGCACGCACGCGTTGCATTTGCCTAGTCCTTCGGGTTGGTGTGGCTTCTGAAACCGACTCCTCCCCCACTCTTCTCCCACGCAAATCTGAAATTGTGAAGTGAGCGGTTTGCCTTTAGGCTTATATATACGGAGACCTTAACACCACGCAGAGAGAGAGGGAGGAGACGCGCGCGCGCAGGTTCAGATAGTTTCAGGCTTGGGAGGAAGGAAGGAGAGGCAGAGAGAGAATTTTTGTCTGAGAGAATTCAGATTTCAGAGAGATAATTTTCGTCTGAAGAATTGTGTATCGATCGATGTCTGGTGGTGTGATCAGCATGGTGGTCGCGCCATGGATTCTCGCTTGCGGGTTCTTGCTCTGCTCATCCTCCTTCCTCGGTGAGAACAGTTCTCAGTTCATTGGTTCATCTTTCTGTTTTTTTTTTCAGTTTTTTTACCTTGCTTGCAATTTCTTCTGTTTTCTTTACCTCAAGGGTGATCGGTTAGCTTCAATCTATACATGAGTTCATCTGAGGTTTAGAATTACGTTTAATCTCTTATAGTAGATTATAGTGTATGAATGGTTACAGCATGTTTCTCATAGCTAGAGTCGCAGTTTCTTCAATCTGTTCTTGACGTCTAGCTAGCTACTTTCATCGCGTTCTGTTCATAGCAGTTTTTTTTTCTTTTTTTGAAGAACGTTCATAGCTAGGTTGGTTTTGTCTCCCATCACGTCTTGTTTTGTTTCTTGATTTGAGCTTATACTGCCATTAGGGTAAAGGATTTTCTTTTAACTTTGAGGGATCCTTTGGGATAAAGATGGCGCCAAATGTCTGCTTCGATAATTAATTATCGATTGCAGGTAGAGCCGTATAGGTGGTTGCCAGGCTTATTCTTTGTGTTCTTGGTTAGGTTTCTTAAAGAAAGAAATCCATCCTGCTGAGGAAACACTGCATGATTGGTTTCAGGAGGAATGCTGCGACTGTAGCTATATTTATTTTGTGGGTTTTCAATTTTTTAATTACCCATTTATCGTACTGGACAAAACTTCGGTAATACTCCAGTATTTAGGAGAAGGAAAAGGATAACAACAATATTGACATCAGCATCCTGATTGGACAGATTTCGATTACAGTACAAATATATTTCGTATGGTTCAGAAAAATAACTGTATCTAGTCCACTGGGCCTATGATGCGTTCTTACTTCCTTAGACCAGTTCTGTTCTTTCAGTAAAAGTTTGGCTAAACCTACCTAAATAATTTAAATAGGTCATATCTGCCATTATTTATTAGATGTTACATCTCAACCAAAATATATATCTTATTCTGCCAATAGTTTTTCTGATTGACGAAATGAAAAAGGGTAACACTTTTGCATTGATGTTTAAATCAAACTAAACTGATGTTGATATCGTTGTCATCTCAATATGACATAACACACCGTCACTGGATAGGATTATGTCTTTTCTTAATCTTGTAGTTTTTTTTTTCAACATCAGACAACCTAAACCACCATTTTTGCTGTTATCTTTGATTCCAGTGCATCTTTGACTCTTTGTATATCTTATCCAGTGTGCTTTGATGAAACAACTATAATTAGGCAGACCTAGATGATGCTGTAAACCTAGATAAGATATAATCCATTACCATATGAACGTATCTAAACAGCATCACATTGTCTACAATTACAACAAAAAAGACATTGCTGCGGTTTTAATATCTTTGTTTATTTCTGGTTGAAAGCGATGTACTTGGATATATTTGACTCCATGGACATTGACGTTTACTGTTTGCTCCTTGACGCCAAGTAGAAAATGGTTTGTGCATTTTGCATCTTATTTTTTGTAGTGTGAATGACGGAATTGGACCTGTGTAGTACGTTCTATAAGTCCTTAGGTTGGAAACTTGGAATAGCCAGCAGAAAAGACGTATAGTGATGTGGAGTTGTGCACGGGCTTCACTTGGAAAATTTTATCTGGTCCCAACTCTTCTCCTGGGTTTGTTGGCTAACCACTCGCCTAATCTAGCTAGGAGTTCAGTTTCTGCAAGTCAGGTTACACACCTAATTCATTGTTCTTCATTTCATAATGTTAACCTAAACATGATAGGTTTGGCATTGCGGATGTGAACAAGGCTAATGATTGCAACTTCTCACAAGTCCACTTAATTTTCTCATCTCAAATATATATATATATATATATATATATATATATATATATATATATATATATATATATTTGCTCCAAAGTTGAAACAAATATAAATTGATCATTTGACTAATGTAAATTGTATCATACACCCTCCATCCCACAAAATATGGCATCTTCTAGTACAACGAATCTGAATAAAGATATTTAGATTCGTTGTACTTGTGTGATCTCTTCTAGGTTGATTTTTTTTTATAGATGGAGTAGCTGTATAATGAATGAAAATTACTGAAAAAAAAAGTTGTAAGTTGTAACTCATCCGTGTGGCAAAATGATGCAGGAGCTGAAGGCGCCATTGGTGTGAACTACGGCATGCTGGGGAACAACCTGCCGTCGCCGGCGCAGGTGATCTCCATGTACAAGGCCAAGAACATCAACTACGTCCGCCTCTTCCACCCGGACACCGCCGTCCTCGCCGCGCTCCGCAACTCCGGCATCGGCGTCGTCCTCGGCACGTACAACGAGGACCTCGCCCGCCTCGCCTCCGACCCCTCGTTTGCCGCCTCCTGGGTCAGCTCCTACGTCCAGCCCTTCGCCGGCGCCGTCAGCTTCCGCTACATCAACGCCGGCAACGAGGTCATCCCCGGCGACCCCGCCGCCAACGTCCTCCCGGCCATGCGCAACCTCGACGCCGCGCTCAAGGCCGCCGGGATCAGCGGCATCCCGGTCACCACCGCCGTCGCCACGTCCGTGCTCGGCGTCTCGTACCCGCCGTCGCAGGGCGCGTTCTCGGAGGCGGCGTCGCCGTACATGGCGCCGATCGTCGCCTACCTCGCGTCCAGGGGCGCGCCGCTGCTGGTGAACGTGTACCCCTACTTCGCGTACGCCGCGGACGCGGAGCGCGTGCAGCTCGGGTACGCGCTGCTGTCGGCGTCGCAGTCGGCGTCGGTGACCGACGGCGGCGTGACATACACCAACATGTTCGACGCGATCGTGGACGCGGCGCACGCGGCGGTGGAGAAGGCGACGGGCGGGCAGGCGGTGGAGCTGGTGGTGTCGGAGACCGGCTGGCCGTCCGGTGGCGGCGGCGTGGGCGCCACCGTGGAGAACGCGGCGGCGTACAACAACAACCTGATCCGCCACGTCTCCGGCGGCGCCGGGACGCCGCGGCGGCCGGGGAAGCCGGTGGAGACGTACCTGTTCGCCATGTTCAACGAGAACCAGAAGCCCGAGGGCGTGGAGCAGCATTTCGGCCTCTTCCAGCCCGACATGACCGAAGTCTACCATGTCGACTTCGCGGCCTCCAGCTAGATTAGGCCCGGCCCATTTCACATTTCTTTCTTTCAGCTGCTGCTACTATTTTATTATTTGTCGGATACAGTATTTTCGTAGTTTCGGTTCGATCTCATGTCACCGGTGCTCTGATTTGGATTCATTGTTCATTTGTTGTCGATGCACATTGGAGTATGATTTATTCAAACGCACGAATTTTACGAGAAGATATGCAGACAATTTCCACTAGATGAATGCTGATCTGGATTTAAAAACAAACACCATGTCAAAAACTGAGTGAAATTTAATCGTTGCGAAGAAACTAATTCTGCGCCGATTGCTTTTGCGGAACTATGGTGGACCGGAAATGCGATACTTACGGGCCGTTTACCCGTAGACTCGGTCAAAGCCTTTTGGACGCTTATGGGCCGGACGTGGGCCCACGAAGGTACCAGCGATGATGCCACGTGCCACTTTTTGTGGCACACGTGGCGATCCAATCCGAGAGGACTAGCCGCTGGTGTGTAGTAGTACTAGCGAGTTCTTCCTCGGCGAGTTGGCGGCGTAGAGGGAACGAGAAGAGGCGAGTTCTTGACCCTTCCACCGTTGCGCGCTTCGTCTGAGTTTTGCGCCTCTCCTCGAGACCGGTGAGTGCGATCACGCGATTTGTTTTCCCATCTGTTCCGTAGTTTGGTTGAGTCCGATGCTTAGGGTTACTTCGTGTTGGTTCTGTTTCTTTGGTGGAATCTTTGATCGATCGCGTTAGGGTTTGCTTTCAGCAAAATGGTTTTATTTTCTAGCGAATTAGCGTGCTTTGGTTGGTACCATGTAATCAGGAATCAGGCAAAGGAGGAGGGTAGGAAACTAGGGATTCAGGTACGAGTTATTTTGTGCGTGTTCCCCATGTGGCCATGTGCGAGGCTGAAGGGGAGATTAGGATTACTCTGTTTGATAGAAGTAGGAAGTTTTGGTGGTTCATCAAGTGGAAATGCAATTGAGTCTCTAGCAGATTCCTCTCGGTGATTGTAACAATCTTATAGTTGTAGTGAGCTAGAAATGATTCACAAGTCGATTAGCCTGATTTTGAGATTCCACGCAAAAACCGAGTAAATTTGAGACCCACTGGCAGATCCTTTCCAACTTATGTTATTGTACTCCAATAAAGTGGCTAAGGTGATGCCCTTTTGTGTAGATTTGTTTCGAAGTTGCTAAAGCCAACTTTAACTCATTCGCTCTAGTACCACTTGATGCCTGGTAAATGTGAAGATTGTAGGAGCAGACTAGTTAAATCCAGGAGCAATGCTTCTACAAGAACAGCTTAGTTATGCCTTTTTCCCTTTTTTTTTCCCCTGGAAGCATCTTCAGTTGTATTTTGCTGATGCTTAGTGTATTGGGTCCAAAAATGGATTGTATGGGAAAGATGTGACAGTTTTCTATGGCATTCTTTATCTATTTTTAGATAATTGATAGAAATATGGCCTCCTATATCCACAAGTGGATATACACAGCTAAAAGATACATGATACATGAGTTCTTAGGCTCCAAGTCTCAAAACTGAGGACAAAATAAAAAGGAAAAAAGCTAGACAACTACGAAAGAGAACTAGAAGACTTTGTTTGGAACTTCCTAAAGATTTCGTAATAGTATGACTAATCTTTGTCAATACATTCTGTTAGCATATTGCTGTGTATGCTGTGTGGTTCTTCTCTTGGAGTCTTACATCTAGTAATTCATACCAGGCATGGATGCAAAGAACTTAGGCAACAGACGACAAAATCATGAGAAGAGTACAATGACAGAAGATGCACGGAGCCGAGATCAGGAGACCTTGCAGCGGTTTGCAGATTCAGATATTACTGTGAGTCCAGTCAACAGTCATGAATCTGGAGATGTGAACATGGAAGCTGCCATCTCTGCTGAGGATGTCTTGCGAGCTGGTGGTTTCGGAGCAAAAGATGACATCGGCAGCCTCCTTCCCACAGCCGTAGATTCGACTGATTTCGAGGCCTCGCTACGGGATGCTCGCGACTTTGAAGGCGAGAGTGAAAAACCATCGCATCCTGGACTAGGATACAAAGCAAATGAAACTGACAGTGGAGGCAAACCATCAGATGTGCAGCAGCAGCAGCAGCAGCAGTGATCCTTAGTGTTCTCTTCTCCTCCATGCAATTTTAGCTTTGGATAACATGACATTCGCCGCGTTCCTCTAGTGCTCCGAAGACCTATCCTGTTCTGACTTTGTGCTAAGGTATGTGGCATTTCTGTTGTTTCCCTGATGTACCATGTATGAACGTGACCATGATGATTCTGCTGTATGAACCAGATCGTTTCACCTTGTATACCTAAGTATTAGTGGTAGTAGTTTGTGCCAGTTTTTTCATCATGAGTTGATTATCTGCTGGTGATTGTGGTCACAGGATGCAGAGGAGAGCTGATATATTTTGGAACGAAACGCATGCAAATTTTGCATGGTAGGTACTTGATAGGAGGCATAAAGGATCATCTGAACACTTATGTATGATCAGAAATCAAACATTAAAACAATAGAAATCAACTAAGTTGACATTAAAACCAACAGAAATCAACTAAGTCTGGATCTCGACACAAGAACAGAACAACAGAGCAGGTCTGTCATTCACTGTGAGGCTCTTTGTGAGTTAAGATGATAGACAATCGTCGTCGTCGTCGTCGTCAGCATCACGAAACTTTTGCCCTTCGGCCTTGTTGACGTGAAGCCTCTTCTTCTTCTGCCCTGGCTTCTTCTTGCCGGCGTCGGCCGCCTTCTCGGCCTTGAGCTTCTCGTTGGCCACCGTCGTCATGGACGACACGATCTCCTTCACGCTCGTCGACGTCAGCGACGCCACGGCGAGCTTGTTCATCGCCTTCATAAGACCAATGTAATGGTAGCTTTTCTGAAACGAAGAAAGAAACAACCAAACATTAGACCCCAAATTCTCCTTGCAATTATTTCACGGACAAGAATATGAGACGAGAATGCAAATACCTCGTAAGGTCTAAGAAGATCTTTCGCGATGCGCTCGGCGTACTCGGCGAATTCCTTCTCCGATTTTGGGACGAACTTCTCGATGGGTTCGTCGTCGTCAGGCTGCTTCTGAGCTATCTCAGCAGCGGCATTCGAGGTAGAGGTTTCACTCGGTGTTGCGTCTGCTGCTTCTGCCTTCGCCTTCGCGTTGGCCTGGCTCTTCTTCCCTTTGGTTGCAGGAGGTTTCGTGCTCGCCGCCGTGGCGGCCGTCTCCTTCCCAGGTTTAACGTCGTCGTCGTCGTCCCACGTGTCCTTCACCGCGGCGAAGTCGTCGCCGGCGTCTTCGTCCTCCCAAAGCCTTTTTCCCATAGACTGTTCTTCCTCATCGGAAAATTCATCGTCATCTGCAGCGAGAAACGCACGGGCAATGTCAGAACAAAAAATGGATCAAAATTACAGTTTGATAAAAAAAAGTGATATCGAGAAGGAAAAGGGGAGTTTTACTATGGACCATCGACGGCAACTTACCCCAACTCGCCATCTTTGATGCCGTACTTGATGATCCGTGCAAGAACATCAACAAATTAACTATCAAAAGCAGGGATTTATAGCCTTTTTCTCCAAAACCCAAGAAAACACCAAGAGGGCTTCGATTGTCGAGTGAAATTCGAGGGCTGCAAAATCGAGCCGGTGCACGAGAATTTTTGAAGTTTTTCTTGCGACCGAGAAGTGCTCGCCAAATTGCGATGGCTATCCGTGGATGCACGGGACAATCCAGGTATATAGAGGAAACGGAGGGCCGTCTTCTTGTCAGAGTCGGACGAGGAAGAGCATACTAGAGTACTGGATTCCTAGTCCGATTCATGATCCGAGTTTCTGCTGCCGTGGGGCGCAGCAGCCAATTGCTGATACAGGCATTGATGAACTGGAATCGGCTTAAATATGCCACGTTTTATTAAGAGAGTTTTGAGCGTTCGACACCACAAAATCTGCGATCCAAACTAATGAACTCATGGCTCGACAACCAGAAGAAAAATGTAGTGATGAGGTTTGTCTGAATTCTGATGCGGCAGGATGAACATTGATTGGATCATTGGAAGCACTGCACGTCCAGATCCGATGCGGAGTTTGTTGAAGTATATAGATGTGACAGGAGTTTATACATGAATGCTCAAATGTCCATGGTTAATGCAAATATCTTGAAGAAATTTCATGGGCATAAAATGTGATGATGTTTCACTTTCAGTGATCAGTTTCTGGTTGCACACCCTTCATCTGAATTTTGAGCTGAATCCAGTGTGCGCATCCAGCATGCAAATACATGATCAAATGCTCACAATGGATTATGAAAATCTCCAAGGTGTCTGTTTGTTCCGGAATCCAGCATGAACTCCTGCCATGCCATGATTCACTAATTTTCAATGGATACATCTACTTTCAACAGTCGACTGCCCAGGCACCCTAAAGTTTGCTTCTCTGCCAAAGAAAAAAAAACGCAAATAAAACATACTTACCCAGCAAATTAGCAAAAGAAAAAAAAAAGATGATGAGAGAAAGTTCTGGGGGAAACAACGTAAGGTATTGATAATTATGTTTCCTGAGGTAAGGTATATCCAACAAACACAAAATGCTGGGAAGTTATTCAAACGATTTCCAGCATCTCTATAAAACATTGGTCTCTTACATTTCGAGTGGTTGAAGAGGTGCGAGAAAGGAGTAGAATATAGCAAGTTTAGAATGGTACATGAAGAAGATGCAACAAAATGAAACTTAGCCTCATACGGCCACAGTGACAGCTTCATCAAGTGCAATGACTCCAGGAAGTTCCTTTCCTTCCAACAGCTCCAAGCTAGCACCACCTCCCGTTGAAATGTGGCTCATAACATCTGCAACTCCCACCTTCTCAACAGCGGCAACAGAATCACCTCCTCCAATAATGGTTGTAACACCCTTGCCGCTAAGGTCTGCCAACTTCTTTGCAATAGCCTGCAAAAGAGAGCTCACAGTTAAGCTTGTTTTCGCAATTCCGTTAAGTTTGTTTTGGCAATTCCATCTGTAATCAAACCGAATGAGAGCATTGGCACAGGCCATCACCTCAGTTCCTACTGCAAACTTGTCAAATTCGAAGACACCCATAGGTCCATTCCAAATGACTGTCTGTGTTGTTTCCAGGGTAGAGCTGAATGACGCGACTGAATCTGGACCAATATCCAGACCCATCCAACCATCAGGAATAGCAGATGCTGGAACAACCTGTAGAACAATTCAAAGTCAAGGTCAGGTCCAGTATATCACTTCACCAAACTTTGAGCTGCTCTATATCAAGTTATCGACTAGACAATATCTATGATAATCATCATCAGTGATTACAAAAGAATAAAACATAACAGACCTGGCTGTTAGCATCAGGAGCAAACTTATCAGCAATGATAACGTCAGATGGCAACAGAAGGGAGACACCCTTTTCTTTTGCCTTTGCAAGGAGAGATGTTGCAAGCTCAAGTTTGTCTTCCTCAACCAAGGAAGAACCAACAGAGAGTCCTTGTGCCTTGTAAAATGTGAAGATCATACCACCACCTAGAAGAAGGATATCACATTTCTCCAAAAGGGATTCGATAACCCCAATCTTGGATGACACCTTTGAACCACCCACGATGGCAGCAAATGGGCGTTTAGGGCTTGAAACAGCTCCAACAAGGTAGTCAAGCTCCTGTGATTTAAATTAATGATAAACATTGAGGCTCAGAACTTTATATTGTTTTTGAAAGAAAAGAAAGGGTACTCTAAAATTTCTGGTCTAGGTATAGCTTTCAAAAATTTCAAGCATCAGACTTGAAAATGTAAGGTGAAACGGTAGTAACCTTCTGCAAAAGGAATCCTGCGACAGAAGGCTTTAAAAACTTGGTAACTCCCTCAGTTGATGCATGTGCTCTGTGGGCTGTTCCGAATGCATCATTGACATAGAGATCTGCTAAGGAGGCAAGCTTCTTGGCAAACTCTGGGTCATTCTTCTCCTCTTCCTTGTAAAATCTAACATTTTCAAGGAGCAAAACACTACCATTTGGCAATTCAGATACCAATTTCTCAACATCTGGTCCAATAACATCTTCTGCCTTAGTCACCTGTTTGCGAATACAAATATGGTTTAATCAGTGTGATCAAATTAGCCCGTAAAGATTCAATTAGAAATAACAGTAACGCAGAAACCTGTATGCCGAGAAGTTCAGACAATCGCGGTACAAGGGGAGCCAAGCTAAACTTGGGAGTAACACCCTTTGGGCGACCCTGCACATTTATAGGAGAAAACGAATAAGATCACAATTGATTCATATGCAACGAGTAAAAAGATTGGTCACATATTACTTTGCTAGATTATTTGCAACAACATTTGATAACCAATTTTAGCCTTTCAAACAGCACAACAAGAAAAATTCGTGCCTAATAAGACACTATGCACAACAATCATCCCATGGAATCAGATGAGATCACAGCGACTGGCATCCCGCAGGTTCTGAGATCCTGCATTGTATATCTGTGACAAGTAGCGTTACATTGAGGAAAAAGATGAGGGACGGAGGCTTTACCAGGTGGCTGGAGAGGATGACCTTGGCACCGTTCTTGATAAGGTACTGGATGGTGGGGATGGCGGCGCGGACACGGGTGTCGTCGGTGATGTTCTGGTTGTCGTCGAGCGGGACGTTGAGGTCGGCGCGCACGAACACGCGCTTCCCCTCGAGGTCGGCGGCGGTGAGGTCCCCGACGCTCTTCTTCGCCATGGTGGCGACGGCGCGCGTCCCGCGCGAGGACGACGACGCCGCCTGCCGGCACCGCGACGCGACGTGGGTCGCCAGCCGCGGGTCCGCGGCCGCCGCGAACGCCAGCGACCGCGCCGGCTGGCACCCGGCCGCCAGCCCCCCGCGCCGTAGCGGCGACGCGGCGGCGGGCCCCACCGCCGCGGCGCGCCTGGCGGCGAGGGAGAGCGAGGACGTGGTCGGCGCGGCCGCGGACGCCATTGGGGGAGGACGAGGGAGCGCGCGCGGAGGCTGGAACGCGGAGAAGGTGGGAGGCGGGAGGGGGACGAGGGGTTGGGGGGTTCGTAAAGAAAGAGGGTTTTGTGGACGAGAGGGGGGAGGGGGAGATTTGCTTATCGCTGGCGAGAGGTTGGGAACTTGGGAATTGGGATGGGAGGTGGGGGTCGATGATACCGGTGGTTGTGTGGGGGAGGAGGCGGCGGTGATCGCCGCGACGGCGACGTGTGGGGCTTGCTGCCTTCCGTGATCGCCGTTGTTTTTTTGTGTGATCCGTGTGATCGAATCGATCGATCGGAGTTTGGAGAAAACTTGTCCATTTTCGTGTGATTCGTTGAACACAATTTTTTTCTCTTTTTTTAGACAAAACACTTTTTTTTTCTCGAGGCCAGTTCAGCGGTAGGGATTTATCAATTTGTCATTGGCATATTCTTTGTCACAGCATACTACCATAGCACATCTCGTGGAACATGCTACGGAGTATATGATTATTGTTTACTGCTTGATCAACCTGACACCCACATGACTGTTAATTTTGTATGCCATTTTTTTTACAAGGCTGTGTAAGAAAAGTGCAATTGAACTTTCTTCCTTTCTTTTTAGCTGAGAATGCAGGAAGCAAGAGTATTATTTTGTGTTGTATATGTTAAACTGGAGGGGAAAAAATAGAAAATTCGATCCATAACATAGGAAAGAAAGCGGTACAAAAAATGGCACAATAATTTTTCGCTTTCGATTAGAAGCACATGCCACCGGTTTTTCTTCACCCCGTAACACTTCCGTCGTGGTCATCGTTCCAGTGAACTGGTTAGTTGTTAGTCAAGAGTTAGAAAGACCATATTGCCTTCATGCCTTGGTTCATATGAGCCACATGGAGGAGATGATTGCCGGCCATCCAGAGTTCCTCGACCGCGCCGTTCCATCTCTCGACGCTCGGCTCAACTTCACCAAGAACGCGTGCCAAAGCTAGCCATGGCCACCGCGGTGAGGGTAATCACCAAGTGGGGCCACCCCACCGCGGACATCACCCACCTCGTTGTCTCCACTAACGCCGGCGCCCACTCCCTTGGGACCGACGAGTGGCTCGCGGCACTCCTCGGCCTCCGTGCCACCGTCCAACGCACCATCCTCTACATGCACGGCTGCTCCGCCAGCTGCAGCGCGCTTCGCCTCACCAAGGACATCGCCGAGAACAACCACGGGGCGCGCGTGCTCGTGGCCTGCACGGAGGTCTTCCTCATAGTGTTCGCCGCCCCCGACAAGGCCCACCTTGACACCCTCGTCACGCATTGCCATTTGGCAACGACGCCAGCGCCGTCATTGTGGGCACCGACCCGAGAGCTCCCGTTGAACACTCTGTCTTCCACATGGTGTATAATCGGATGGGGAGCGAGAGCTAGGGTTTGGTGAAGACAAAGAATAAAGAGAACGAGATGACACAGAATGGGAGATTAAGGCGAGGAAGACGAAGGGCAAATGGGTCCAACAATTTTTTTTCATACTTCAGTGTAATGCTGTTAACTACAAACCTGACTGAAGTGCTATGGGGCGAAGAAAAATCGGTGGCCTGTGCTTCTGATCGAAAGCGAAAAATTCTTATGCTATTTTTTGGTTTTTTTTGCGTGTGCTATGATAAAAAAAAAGGCACCAAGAGATACTAAATAACACGGGGAAATAAAATTTATCGCATAAAGATGACACGAGATGAAGTTTTTAGCATATGAAAGCCACGTTGGCGTGCTTGTCGCGGCAGTAAAGTCCAGGCTGCTGAGTGTACCCTTGCTTGGCGAGCAGCTCCCGCGCTCTCCGCACGAGCTCCATGTTGGTCACCTTCCCGCGGCGCTCCTCGGCGAGGACGCTCTGGATGGCGTCGCTGAGCGCGCCGTACGACACGCCCTCCGGTGTGGTGGCGTCCGCCGAGGTCTCGTCGGTTTGGCACCCGCTGATCAGCACGCCGTTGCGCGGCAACGGCCTCGTCTCCGGCGCCCCTTGCTTCGCCGCCGCCGCCTCGCCCTCGCCGTCGACGCGCTCTGGCTTAGCTTTATCCGGGTGCTCCTCGCTCGCCGTGGCGCTGCCGTGTCTGCGACCCAGCATGGCATTCACGAGCCGCCTGATCTTGGGGCTCGCGTCGTCGCCGAAGTGGTGGAACAGCGTCGTCCGGATCGAGCCCACGCCGACGTCGTCCTTCCCGGTCCTCTCCCTGAGCATCTCCACGAACGTCGAGAGCGGCAGCGACCGGTTCTTGATGCCGGCGCGCGTCGCGTCGGCGGCCAGCAGCTCTGCCTGCGAGCGTGGTGGTTGATCCTCTCCCACGCCATCGCGGCTGCGGCTACCGATGATCCGTTGGCCACCGCGGCGAGGAAGATGGCGCAGCGCGATCTGCAGGAGGGAGGCGCACGAGCACGTGCCGGGAGAGGGAGCTTGCTGCCGGCGCAACTCTCTCTCCCGTTGCTGGATCTTGCTCTGCTTCGTGCTGCTCCCTATCTGCTCCTTGGTCTTGTCGATGAGCCCGCCGCTGTGGCACGAGTCGGAGACCATGGTGAACAGGCAGCCATCCGGGACTTTCTGCACGAGCTCCGTGAAATCTTGGTCTGCATCATCCAGCTCTCGTGTCAAATGAGTGATAGCCATATATACTGGGTGTTAGCGAGAGATCAGGTGTTTGTCTCCGATATCACCTTTGATCAGGTTCATGTCGCAGGGCACGATGCACTCGTCGTAGCCGGTGTCGTCGTCGTCACCGCCGGTCTCGATCGGCAGCTGCAAGCCGTGGCCACTGTAGTGGAAGAAGAGGGTGTCCCCGGGCCGCGCGTCGCCGACGAGCCGCTCGAGCTCGAGCCGGATGTTGGCACCCGTGGGCTGCGGCGTGGACGGGTCGGCGTCGGCGAGGACGCGGATGTCGGCCTCGTCGAAGCCGAAGCGGTCGACGAGGCAGCGCCGCATGCGGGCCACGTCGTTGAGGCAGCCCTTCAGCTCCCCCTCCGTGCCGGCGTAGTTGATGCCCACCAGCACCGCTCTCTTCCGCCCCATCGTCGTGTTCGTCGCCGGCGATGTGATCGATCAATCGCCACCGCGGCTGTGAGCACCGGCGAGCCGGCGAGGTGTGTGCACTCTGCCGGGACACCGGTTTGGGTTGGTGGGGCGGCGAGCTGCCGTTCCGATAGGTTGGCACTGGCAGAGTGGCAGTTTTGTGGTGGGTTGGTGGAGCTCTGATGAGTGATGAGTGCGGTAGCGCGAGGTGATCGTCGCTGCCAGGGCGCGCGCTTTCTTGTATTGGCTAGTGATGCCACTCGACACTGGCAGATCGGCTGGTGTGCCTGAGTGCCTGACCAGGTTGGCTGGAGGCTGCCATTCTACAGCCTTTTTAGCAACATGTTTTTTGTGGTGGACTGATGGAGACCACCGGGGATCTGACAGTGAAATGGTGGCCGTGATGACAAACAAATCGCATTTCCCGGTGGCTGGGATTTGGTGATTATTTTACTGTCATTTTGTAACATCTTCTCTTGATATTAACAGTCGACCACTCTCCATGTTGTCTTTCATTTAAAAAACAAATAGACTCCATACTCCATAACAATGTAAAACATCAAAGGGGAAAGGGAAGATTCTCGCATATGTAGCAATCCACGCAGCACAGCTGATGTTCCAGGCTCTCAGCATATGAAGGCCACACTGGTGTGCTTGTCACTGCAGTAAAGGCCAGGCTGCTGGGTGTACCCTTGCTTGGACAACAACTCGCGCGCTCTCAGCACGAGCTCCTTGTTCGTCACCCTGCCGCTCTTCTCCGACAGGATGGTCTGGATGGCGTTGCTGAGCGCGCCGTAGGACACGCCCTTGGGCGTCGTGGCGTCCGCCGATGTCTGGTCGGTCTGGCACCCGCTAATCAGCACGCCATTGCTCACCCTCGCCGTCGTGCCGGCGTACGCCTCGTGGACGCTGTGCACCTCCTGTTTCATGGCCGGCTCGAGGGCGTCCGCCTCCTGGTTGCCCTCCAGCTTAGCCTTCATGAACTCCTGCGCCAGGGCGCCCACCAAGCCCATCACGCCGCCGTGCTGGCCCTCCTGGAGCTTGGTCAGCATGACCTTCATGAACTTCTTGATCTTGGGGCTCGCGTCGTCACCGAAGAGGCTGAACAGCGTCATCCGGATCGAGCCAACGTCAATGTCGTCCTTGCCGGTCTTCTCCTTGAGCATCTCAATCAACGTCGAGAGGGGCAATGACCGGTTCTTGATGCGATCGCCACCATGGGAGGATGAGCCCATGTGTGGCTCCTCATCCTCGTCGTCGTTGCGGCGGCTGCTCTGGTGAGGGATGTGAACTCCTCGAGACTCGAACGCGTCCCGGACTGTTTCTTTGAGGGTTTCTTTGAGGAAGGATCGGAAACCGCCGGTGCCAGAGTCAGAACGTTCTTCTCGCTTGATCTGCTGGGCCTGGTTCTGCTTGGTGCTGTGCCCAATCTGCTCCTTGGTCTTGTCAAGTAGACCACCGCTGTGGCAGGAGTCAGATACTATGGTGAATAAGCAGTCATCTGGGACCTTTTGAACGAGTTCTGTGAAATCTTGGTCTGCAGGGTACAGAAGAAAATCAGGACGCTCTTGACAACAGAATAAGACATGTAAGCTACTAATCTACTTCAGTGAATCAGTGAACAAGATTGATGAATGCTCTTAACTACATAATCAGATAGATGAGCTACTACTCTACCAAAGATTGATGTATGCTCTTGACAACAGAATCAGATAGGTAAGCTACTTCCGTTCAAAAAAGATAGGTAAGCCACTATTCTATCTCAGTGAATAAGATTGATAATTTTTTTCTTGCTACCTAAAATTTTGAAACCAGAGGTAGAACAATCAAATCATAACTTAACGGTAAGAAGGAATCACAGGAAGAGCATATCCTATTCTAAGTTACCTAAATTTACCAGGCAGGACACCAAGTGGCAAATTCTAATCTGGCCTGGCTAATTGTTTGTGGCTAAAAGGGCATTTTGGTTCAATTGATCTGAATCAGAGCCTTCTGATCAAGTGTTAGTTCGGCTTCAGGCTTTTCCCTCCACTCACCTACAACCAACTTGGGAGTTGGGATAGCAGGTATAGATATAATTATTGTATCAGAAATGTGTGATGTACACTAACTTTGGTTTATAGACAGCATGGAGGTTCTATGCACTCGAAATATTAACATTTTCCACATTTAAAAGAAACATAATCAACATTTTCAGAAAAGAAACCAAATACTATCATACGGAATCTTTGGTGTTGTTGAATTCAGCTTTTTGTCCATTTCAGTAGCAAAATTACTAGTGGTTGGCCCATTAGATCCCAAAACTTAAGTCGCCTCATAACCCATCAAATTCAACTTTTTTTCATATAGCACACTGAGCACGATTCGAACATAAGTCATGTCACGTAACAATCGGACAACGTCCCTCTCAAATCTCGCCTATTCGATCCCCAATTCCGAAGCAGGACGACAAAAAAAATGTAGACAGCAGCGCGCGGAGCAATCACCTGTGATGAGGTTCATGTCGGAGGGCACGATGCACTCGTCGTAGCCGGTGTCGTCGTCCTGGCCGGTCTCCGCCGGCAGCCGCGTCCCGTGGCCGCTGTAGTGGAAGAAGAGGAAGTCCCCGGGGCGGGCGTCGCCGACGAGGCGCGCGAGCTCCCGGCGGATGTTGGCCCCCGTGGGCTGCGGCGCCGACCGGTCGGCGTCGGCGAGGACGCGGATGTCGGCCTCGTCGAAGCCGAAGCGGTCGACGAGGGCGCGGCGCATGCGGGCCACGTCGTTGTGGCACCCCTTGAGCTCCGCCTTGGTGCCCGGGTAGTTGATGCCCACCAGCAGCGCGCGCTTCCGGCCCCCCATCGCGCTCGAGAGCAGCGCCCTCGTTCGTCGCCGGAGCCCGTGCGGCGGTGGCCGGCGTGGGGAGGTTGGCGAGGCGGCGGCGTAGACTAGTTTCTTTGCGGACGCGGAGTTGGCTGCGTCCAATGGAAATGAGCGAATTGGCTGGGTTTTTTTGGACTTTTGGGGGTGGGTGCTGAGCTGTGTATTGGCGTCCCATCTGGCAGTGGTTGGGAGGGTTGGCGGTGGTGGCCCAATGTCGTGCCAGGTAGTCGTCATCCACGGTCTCCTTTTGGACTTTTGTAACTTGTATTTTTTCCTATGTGAATTTAGCGAAATGTTGTTAACTTAAAATTCGGTCAAAAATTAGGCATTGTCAAAATTTTGGTAATACATGATCATTTAATTGATGTCAAAATTTTGATGAAGGTAGCGTTTTTTTAAAGACCATCGTGTAGGGTGTTCAAAAAACTGTGCTTACACAGAGCAAGCTTGGTATGTATTACTGTGGATTGCGAAGTGAGCGTAACTCAACTTTAGGTTTCTTGTGGTCGAACTGGCCCTCCAGGTTTAAATTCTAGATTTAACACGGGTGCTCGAATTTACGGCTAATTATTTTTTTTAGTGATAAGGCAATGCACCCGTCGATAGCAAGATGTCTATGGTGACTTCGTCAATCTCAATATATCCTGAGCAATTCTTTCGAAGGTATTGCAATACGATGTTGAAATATATTTTTTTAAAAAAACAATTCTTATATGTCGGTTTGGATTAGTACTCTGCCTACCCGATCCCTTATATTATGAGACACGCTTTTAACCCCTAATCCCATATAATGTGGGACGGAGGGTGTCGACGGGGGATATCCGTAAACCGGATATAGAGGGTATTGGAGTACGCTGGTACAAGGATCTACGTAATACGACATCGAGTAGGCAGAAAACAAAGATTATACTGGTTCAGGCCCCTTGATAGGTAATAGCCCTAATCCAGTTGATATGGGATTATATGATGGAAACCACATATTACAAAGGAAATAGTGGAACTCGACGATACCAATGAGATCGTAGTCGAGTTGATTCGACTAGATCACCCGGCGACTTGGCTCCTGTAGGCTCCGGCTTCGTAGGCTGTGGTGGATGTGTTGGCGGTAAGATTCGATGCTTTAGGTCCTCCCGGGGGGTCCCTTTTATACCGCATGTCAACTGGTCTCCAAGTAGAACTCGGAGACATCGGACCCGGTACGATACAATGACGACCCATTTATATCCGAGTAGGACTCCTTCCATCTGTAAACTCCATAATGAATTTCCTTAACGTATGCCGAAAACGTCCATATACGCGTAAGTATACCATATCGATATGTGACGTATATCGAAGGGTAGAGGGTATACCTTACCCGTAACCCTGACAGTAGCCCCCGACTTCTACTTAAATGAACTCGCAAAACCGATCGCGACTTCTGATGTCGAGGTTGTCATCGTTCTCGGTGTGAGGACCGAGAGACAAGGAGTGATCGACAACGCCAGGTGAAGCTCAACGGTCATGAGTGAATTAAATTGAAGTCCGAAAAACTGCCGCGCGTAACAGACCCAGAAATTTCCGGCGGCCATCTCTCTCCTTTCCTTAGAATTCACACCGTCGGAAGTGCGTCTATTTAAGGGAGTTTTGGGGATCCAATTTGAAGTCCGCCTGTTGTGAAAAAACTCTCCAGCCTCCAAGTGTCCCTCGTCTTCTCCGCTCCCACAAAAACCCTAGCTAGCTCATCTCGGTCCTTTCTCCGGCGATCCCCGGCAGCAATGGATCTCGACAAGTCTACCTCTACCAGCGCATCGCTGAAGAAGCTGCAGGAGGATGGCGCCCTTCCCAGTCGCGGAACCATGGAGAGAGAAGCAGGAGGTACTGAACCCCAGCCTGTCCTGGGTCGCATGGTTGCGATCGAGGACTTTATTCTCTGTGGTTTTCTTCCTCCGCCTTCTGAATTTCTTCTCTTGGTCTTGAATTTCTACGGCCTTTCCTTGCTCCATTTGAAACCCAATTCCGTCGCCTTCCTGAGTATCTTTTCGCATCTTTGTGAGGCCTACATTGGGGTAGAGCCGTTTCTTGACCTCTTCCGCTTTTACTATGAGTTGCGCTGGATGAAACCTAAAAAGGTGTTTGGATGTGTCGGTTTCCGACTTCGGGATGGCCTGAAGTCGCGATACACCCCCCTTCTAGTGCCCCTCATCTCACAGCAAATGGCGGGGGAGGTGGTTCTATCTTCAGATAGAAGATTCGGATCCGGTCTTTATTGTTCCTGAGGAGCAACCAGACAAGATTTCATCTTGGACCGCCAAATCCACCTTGACCCCATCCCTCCAATCTTTCATCGATATCATTGATGACCTCCGAGTACGGGGATTGTCGGGGTATGAAGTCGCTGCCGACTTCATTGATAGGCGGATCCAGCCGCTCCAGGCTCGGGCCCACCCAGCCTTTGATTATTCTGGGCCGGAGGACGCGACCCGGGTTTCTCCTCGGGGTATTTTTTTTAGTTAAATTGACTCCCTTATGTGCGTGTTCTTCCCGACTTATCGAATTCTGGTCTCGATCTACAGGCTTGGACAGCGCAACCGTGGAGTGCCGCGTCAGCCAACTGATGATCAGTGGCCCAACAACGGCGAGCAACGTCCCCGTCCCCCTTTGCGAGAAAGGGGCAGCCGAGCGCGAAGCTGCCAACTATGTAAGTGCACTCAGCGGTCCTTTTGCATTTTTCTTTCGGGATCACATCATGACTTCATGAAGTGTAGGCTCTCCCTCTAACTGATATCATCGGGCCGCTCGTGGACCATTAGGTGGCGACGTCGCTGAAGGAGAAAGTCGCCAAGGAGGCGTCTGACGCTGCTGCCGCTGCTGCCACAACGAGTGATGGCAATGTTCCGAAAAAGGGGAGGAAATTCTCCTCTGTGATCAGACATCGTCGGAAGACGCCCACCCCCTCGGTAAGCTCTCCTGGTCTTTCATCGCATAGTCGGGAAACTTCCACCTCACCTCATATACGTTATACTCCAGGCCTCGGATGCGTCTCCCCCGCCTCCGCGACGGCAGCGGCTTGTGACGCTCGGCGAGAAGTAAGTGAATGAATTTGAGGTTTCGTGACTTCGTCAAACTCTTGTAGTCTGTCTCAATTGCAGCCTTTCGCAGGGCGGCGCGGGCGAAGGCGGTGCAAGACGGGTCTAGGGGGACCTCCAGCGCGTCTCCTGCTGTGGCCTCGACGGATGTCGTGGTCGTGCCCAGGAGCCACGAGGCGACACCTAGCGGCCTAGCCAGCGATCTCGTGGCTGGTCGTGGTCCGCCGGCTGCCGTCCTCACCTGGGAGGAGCTCCAGGTCGAGATGGGGCGCCTCCTCGAGGCTGGTGCTCGCAGCATTAGCCGCGAGATCACAGAGGCGAGGGCGGCTGACGGAGCGTGGGGCTCCTCACCGGGAGACCGCGCAGGCCCCCCTTTGCCGGTTCGGCCGGGGGCGCTAAGTGAGGTTCTTCGCCCTCGATCTGGAGGAACTTCAGCGAGAGAGGAAATGCACAAGACATGGGCGACGTAGACAGGTTCGGGCCGCTGAGAAGCGTAACACCCTACTCCTGTGTTCTGGTGGATCTGTGTGTGTAAGAATTACCGAGAGCCGGAGAGCGAGGGAGACCGTTCAGGCTCTAGCACTCCTTCCTCCTCCTCTTTTTTCCCTCCTCTTTCTTTTAGGCCTGGGCCTCCTTTTTATCTGATCAGGGGTCACCACATGGGCCTCTAGCTGCCTAAGAAAGGAAACATGCTTTTTACAATGAGGGCTAGTCTACAGCCGGAAATGACTTCTGACAAGCAGAGCACACGCTTCCTGCCCTGCTCGCCCGCTTTTCCGGTGGACGCCCATTTCAACCTTCATTTAATGGCCAGCGACTTCCTTGCCATGCCTGCGTTGAAGTCTGGAATGAATCTGACCGGGACTGACATACCAACTACAGGAGTGAGCACGCCGGCTCCGACTAGGGACGAGAGCCAGGAAACTCTCATCATTCCGACGGGACGGGGCGAGGCGTGTGACAGGCCGCCTGTTGCCACCTAATCCCGCGATCTGACCGGTCTGTGACCGGTCACACGCCGCGACCGGTCACGGACCGGATAAGCATGCGCTGCGCCGCATTAAATGCGGCGTGGCGCGCTCGTCCAACCCGCTATAAATGCGGTTAGGTGAGCCCCGCTGTGCTCACCTAACCCACACACGTGGCGCCAAAACCTCAGGGGGTCGGGGCGCTCCAACTCTTCGTCTCCTGTGCCCTACCCTCGCCGCACTCGCTCGCTCTCAAGCTCCTCCTCCGCCGGCGTCATGGCACGGGGCTCCGCACCGCTCGACGGTAGCGTGCTGCCGCCTTCCCGCATCGTGAGCGAGAGGCAGGCCGGGCTGCCGCGCCGATTCATGCCGGAATCTGCCACCGGCCGGGAGGTGGTCGCGCTGGGCGAGGGACGCCCGGCGCCACACTACCCAGGGCGGTCCGTCTTCTTCCTCTCTTTCGCAATGGCGGGGCTGGTCCCGCCATTCTCTACTTTTTTCATGGATATTCTGGAGTTTTATGATCTCCAGATGGCGCACCTCACCCCCAACGCGATAATGACGTTGGCCATCTTCGCGCACCTGTGCGAGATGTTTATCGGGGTGCGCCCATCTCTCCGGCTGTTCCGGTGGTTCTTCACTGTACAGCCGGTGTCGCCGCCGACGGTAGTCGGTGGTTGCTACTTCCAGCCGCGGGGGCCGGTGCTGAACCGCTACATTCCCTGCGTCCTCCGCAAAAAGTGGGACGACTGGAAGAGCGACTGGTTCTACACCCCCCTCGCCGACGAAGCGCGCCTCCGACTTCCGAGCCAGCCCCCGGCGCAGGCCTCCAGCTGGCGGGCGGCGGTAGATCTGGGAGACGGCTACGACGCCGTTCTTGACCGCCTGGCGGGTCTGCGATCCCAGGGGCTCACGGGGGCCATGGTCTTCGGCGACTACCTTCGTCGCCGGATCGCGCCGCTCCAGCGGCGCGCCCGGGGCGCCTGGGAGTACACCGGGTCCGAGGACTACATGAGGACCCACCAGGGGTGCAAATGGGACTGGGTCCCTGAAGACTTCAAGATGGTGGTCCAACGGGTGCTGAATCTCAGCTCCGTAGAG